GTCTGATCCTACTGTAGGTAACATAAAATTATAATGGAAATCATACATACAAAGTTTCGAAATGTCCAAAATAGCCATACCAATGTAAAGAGGTTTATTGAAGATTAATTCAGCTTTTCTCAATTCAATTGCCATAAAATCTTCATCAAAAATGGATCTACTATGGAATCGCGGACTAGCAATCAAATTTTTAGCTCCATAACGACCTTCATAAAAATTTACCAATTTAACGACTCTATGTAGTCGTATATTCTCCATTGTTTTCCCAAAAACAGCATTATTAGCTAATTTATATTGATTTTTTTTAAAGTTAGTCGTAGCCGAAGCCCTTAAACGAGTATTGAGTTCTATATATGGCCGTAACCACTCAGACTGCTCAAACTCCAACACTTTATGTATTTTAGTTAGAATCAGACCGTTTGCCAATGCTTGTTTCAAATTTCTGTAATGCAAAATATATCCTTTTTTATCATGCACATCAGCTATCAATTTTGTTAATTTTGATGTTGGAGGAACGGAATGATCTGCACAAAATGGAAAGTCTTTGTGTGAGTCATGTAAATTTTTGGGATATTCCAAATCAACTTGTAAAATGTACCCCACCGATGAATCATCCTGAATCATTGTTACATCAATATTTGTATCAACCCATTTGAAGCCTCCAAATGGTAATGGTTGAGACATAGCCCAACCGTATAAGTTGTTCACATCGAGATACAAAAGTGTTGTGGAAGGTTTTGAGGGATCATAGTTGGGCATGTATTTGTTATTAGCCTCTGAAAATCGACTGCTACAAACCGAAATTCCACCTCTAATCGCCTTTTCTATAAACAATATCATATCAACATCCTTTAAAATTTGTAATTTGCATTTTGTATATTTTAACATAGCATCCCAGGTATATCCTGGCATTGTATAATACCAAGCGGGATCTAAACCATAAGTATTCGATGCAGTTTCCCTAAAATTCTCCATGACATCTGCAAGTAGCAAAATATCAGTTTTCATATACAAGTCACTATAATCTCTTAGACTTTTCATTTTGAATGCATTCCATACATTTTGTGCATGAATGTAGTCTTCTTCACACAATTCTACATCACTCAATTTGTTATAGAATTTTTCAATGGGTGGCAGTTGAGTATCTTTCAATTTATCTACATTATCTAAATAATCATAGGGGAATACCCCTTTTCTAGACAATAGTTTGAATGTTTCATCATCCAACTCTTTGAACTCTCGCTTCAAATTTTGAAGATTATCCATGCATAAAGTGGATACGAGTTCATTAAGACTCGCACCCATGAATCTGAAAGAATCGATAAATCTAAATTTCATCTTACTATCATTGTCATTGAGAGTGAAAGAAATATATTTTTCCTTGTTCAATGGAAGCACACTCAAAGAGCCTCGTTTGGCCATATCTTTAATAATGAAGTGTGCATCATAATTTGACATATTATGACATATAACTGGTAAAACAAACAATTTCTTAAAAATTAAATTGCAGTTTTGATGCGCAAATCCACGAAACTGACCAGTAAAATGATCATGATCTCTCACGATGACGTCATTCGGTTCAAATATTTTTTCACAAATGTGACAAGTTCTGAAATTTCCGTTTTTATTCGGTTTTTCTATCATGGGTACAATATCTAGTATTTTGTTCTCTACGAACTTCGCAATTCGTTTAATCTCACCTGAGAACCATTCCATGCAATCTTCACCCTCATAACTATTGAAATGAGAAATTGAATCATCATAACAACACTTTAGGTAATAACCTACCGAAAATGCCTTGTGTAGTTGATATTTCGTAGTTGTTTGTGATAATCTTGAATTACACGGTTCTAAAATGGATTCAATATCAACATAGATTACAAAAGGTACTTTCTGCTTGTAAACATAATTCCTAAATTCTACAAAGTCATACTTGGGGAATGATATTCTGCAATCGTTCTTTTTCTCACACAATACATAATGAGTTTTCAATTTTTCCTCACTATAGAAATAATTCAAGCAACGATCACATAAATGAATTTTTCGTTTCGTTTTGCTAACTTGCGTCGATATCAGACGCGACATATTTTTTATCCAACAATAGTGAAACTTTATTTCAGTTTCATCATTGTCATCTGGCATTGGTGCTGTATAATCATTCAGTTTGGGAAAATAATGGTTTTGTATTAATAGCAAATTGACATGACGTTCTAATTTACTTTTAGCGAGTCTCACGGGTACTACCACATAAGATGAACCTTTGGTGGAAAGATTCAATTCCAACGCATAAACGTTTACAGATATATTATTCAATTTCTCAAATTTATTTATACGATTCAGTTTCATTGGTATTTCTAAACCTTCAGTATTCAATACTAGACTGTAATGCGGATAGGAAGTTGTATAGCGATTATCTCCTGTGGGTGGATATAAAGCACTAACTATACTCCAGAAGAAGCATGCTTCATCATCATTCTGAATGTTGATACATGCTTTCTTTCTTGAAATTTCTAATGGTATTTTGATAAAAGATGTTCCATTACCAATTTCATATTTGTTTATTGCAACTTCCAACAATAGAATTTTTTGTAATGCCCAACCGCTCTTTTCTTCAGAAAACTCAGACAATTTATTTAAAATGTGATCAACAACATGTTCTTGATACCACACAATGAGATCCGTCCCTTGATCTAAAACTGCATTCGGTGAAATGAAATATTTTTGACTAATTATTTCCTCATCATTTGATTTTTTCACAAAATCACCCCAAAAACAGGTATTTACTTTCAAAGCTGGCATTTCCTTTAGAATTTTGTTGATAATTTTTTTAAACAAATGAAATCCATCAGCAAAAAATGCTTTTATTTCTTTATGCTTTACATTGATGATGACTCCTGTCTTTACTCTGTTATTGAAACAAGAATTGACATCCTCCCAATAAACCTTACGCTCCTTCCTCGACCTCTCATTTTTATTTTTCAACTTAATTAAACACTTTAATCGTTTCAATTGTCCAATTTTTGAAATTATTTTACTTTTCTGTCCAACTTTGAGTTTTAACTTATCCAAAGCTTCATTACACTTTTTTATATGTTGATTGATTGCTTTGATTGAACTCCTTTCAGCGGAATTGCCTTTGATCAATTTAAGCGTTTCATCAATTTTTGACATTGTTCCTCTGAATTCATCCATAATGTATCACTAATTATTTATAAAAAAAGTAACTCACCTCTAAAATTTATTTCAATTCGATTATTTCGAAATATGTGGCAGGATGAGGTTTCCCAACGTTCTTGGTCCCCCTGAATACTACAGCATACTTCCCCGCTGTGAAGTATCGAATATTTGGCTTGTACTCCTGGGTTACTCGTTGGGGCAGGAACACTATGTTTTTCTCTAGTTCAAGTATGACCGTCTCCCCATATTTAGTATTCACTATTTTAGCTGAGTATATCGTATTTGGTTCACCCACAACCAAATCTGTCAGCTTTGTAACTGCCTTATCTGTTTCTAGAAGAGAGATTGAGTTCATTGCATTAAGATCCATCTATAAAAAAAAAACACATACATAATAGAATTTATTTGTTTTACTTCGGAGGTTCTTTGTTAGAGGTTTTTGGTTGTGGAATTGTTGATATCAGAGGAATTATTTTCTTTTGATATATAATTTACTTGTCCTGTGCAATAGTATATGTGGAATAGTGGAACAAGGAAAATGATAGGAGAAATGATATTATTAATAAAGAATAACTCACCTTTGATTGTTACTGCTGACACTATACACTCAGATAGATACTCTGATAGTAGTTCTCGATTTGTGAACGTTATTTCTCTCTATATATACTGTTCATATTACCTTCCATATTCTCGTGATTGTTCAGACATTCACTAATCGTACAAACCACATTCTCTTTTGTCATTGACTTTCTAATCTGATTCAACTTTGAATAGATATTGCTCATTTGGAAACGATTCGTAGGATTCTTCATTCAAAATAAATATCTGTTGTTCCAATGTATATTTTGAAAAAGTTTTTGAATAAACTTATTCATTATTATAATTATTATTATTCAAATCTTCAAAAGAAATATATAACAGACTATGTATATTATTTGAGAAAAATTGATAATCATGCAAGCTGAATTACTCTCAGAAATATCTCATATATTACCCATCATAAGCCAAATATAGGTAATGATTTTGAATTCTGATAATAGCCCATGAGAGGAACCAAACATATTTTATTGTTAGGGTCTTCAAATAATAGTGAAGATGAATATTTTAGCAACACAAAAAACGGCCGTATAGACTAGCAAAACATATTAAATATTGAAAACAGTATCAGTAGCGACACCTCGCGGAATTAGGTTGAAGCGTAACACATACGAGTGGATTCTTCAAAAAGACCTCTGTAATAGGAGAAGGTAAGCATAGCAAACAGTTTCCACTCACATCCGAGTGAGGACACTAGCAGTACCGTAAAATCAAATCTATGTAGAACATAGAAATATTTACTGAAACTCATTCATAAGCCTGATATATTTATTTAAATTGCTCATATTGGCCCAATGAAGCAAAATGAACCCCCCAAATATCCATATACCCATCCATATGTCGAAAATCCATACTCATGGACCTCCAAAAAATATCTCTCGAAAACAGGGGGACAAGTTGAGTCGTACCTACACTTGCACGTTGATAAAATGGACCCCCCATAGCCACTTGGTAACGTGTCGGCTTGCCAACCCAGAGATCCAAAGTTCAAATCCTATACGGTATGATTATCTTTTTTTAATTAAATAAAATTATTAAGTGAACTGAACGTTATACGTCATAATGAATGTAATAGGTTTCCATTAGGCGGGCCAACTGCCAAAATTCCCTACAAACCGCATTGTTTAACTACTTGTATTCCCAAGAAGTTTTTTATTCCTCTCTTCAAAAATTTTCATACATTTCTGCTTTGTAGAATAATTATATGTACGTTTTTCATCCCGCAGAATACGTCCAACCTATTTGCTTGCTAACAGATTCTTCTAAGGTGGTGCCACAAAAGTACTTCCTCAGCGGATGGGGCAAGACATCTGAAGATGGTAAGTGGCATTTGTTAATTTGATGAGGAAAATTTTTTGGCCAGATTTATTGAGGTCAGCATTTTGTATTGATTTTTATTACGGATACACCCTAAGAAACCCTAAATGCACTGGGCAGTCAGAACAGATTGACTCTAGCATGGGTACCAGCACATACAGGGTACGAGGGCAATGAAGAGGCAGACTCACTTGCCCGAGAAGGAGCAAACAAAGCTCTCAATGGCCCAGAACCCTTCTGTGGTATTGCGAAAGCTATACAAAGGACTAGTATCAAATCATGGATGCAAACCAAATCTCAAGAATGGTGGAACAACTCGCCAGGAATGAGACAGGCAAAAGAGTTTATTAAAAAACCATCGCCAACATTCACAGAATATCTACTGAGCCAGAAACGAAGTTCAACTAGAATACTAGTGGGACTCCTCACAGGGCATTGTAGGCTCAACAAACACATGAGTACGATAGGTCTGACTGAAGAACTGCTGTGCAGGTTCTGTCAAGAAGAGGAAGAAACAGCAGTACACATACTTTGCCACTGTGAGGACTTGTCAAGACTAAGGTTCCTTACGCTGGGTGAGGAAAAACCAGAAGCCCAGAGATACACAGGAGATCTGAAAGCTAGCCTATGGAGTCTCATAGAGAAGGCGGGGCTAGCCGAAGAACTCTAATCGATTTTGAGGGCAGACACAATAGATCTGAAAAGGTCGCAGTGTGGAGGCAGATAGCCCAAAGGCCCCATTCCAAATCTAATCTAATCTAATCTTATTACGAATACACAGACAGACACATAAGACAAAAACACAGACGTGCCAAGAATGTTATAACATCCTGGGTCGACAAAAAAATACTCAAGTATTGGCGTAGTTTAGCAGCCCTAGCCCAGTCCAAAGCATTCATTGGTTGTAGAAGGAACAAACAGGACTCTGACAATCTACTAGAACTCAGTAGAGCACATCTCAGAGAGTTATAGTAGGTTTGTTCACTGACCACTGCTTTATGTACATGCCCTGCAGCGGCCAGAATCAGATTTTCAACATTTGGCAATGCAACAGTAGGGCCAGAAAACCTGATAAATTGTTCTCCAAACGTACTAAATACAACCATAGGGTGAGCCACAATAGGCTATTGGCTGCAGTGGAGAGCCTGACATGGGGCCACTCACGTTTAAACCTAACCTAACCTCACTCGATGCGGAGTGAGAAGAGTTTTCTCTAACGAATCGAAGGACGCCCCGAGGAGAATCTCCACGCTCTCAGAGATACTCTTCAAGATGTATCTCTCCATGAGGAGGAGTTTCTCTGACGGGACAAGAACAGGTGTGCCCTCAGATATACTGCTCAAGATTTCTCCCTCGATGCAGAGAAAAGTGTCTCTCCTTCGAATCAGAGAAACGTCTCGAGGAGTATCCCTCCAGAAAACTTTTAGAGAGTCTTCCCCTCCTCAACTAGAGTGCCTCAAATATCTCATTTTACGCTTTTTGAAGGGTGAGGACACATTTGGCATCTTGTTGAACTGATGAACAAAAAAAGATGAGACACACATATGTTTCATTGAACGAGAGCAGACATAATTCAATTTGAAACCCTAACATTGTGTATAGTTATATCAATATTATGTCAATGAATATTGGAATTTGAAGCTTCAACGAACACTTGAAATATCGTCTTGTCTTTGGGCAAATCAAATAAATGATAACCATCATTCTTAGAATTTTTGCAATTCGTTCCTAATCAATTTTCAGGACTGACGTGTCAAATCTGAGAATGATGTCGATTCGTACTTGTCAGTGTTGACAAGTGTGTCCACATTCTTTAATAATCCAAGAGCCGGCTGCAAGTTTCGACTTCCATCTGATAACGAAATGATATATGTCCCTATTCACTCTCCTGAGCAGAGTGATTGAGAAATTGCACTTTCCTGTGCGGTCATTTGCACTCGATTTCAAAATTTGATAACGAGATAAGAACTATGCTATTCGATAACAATTGAATGGTAGATCTCTGGAACCTACTTGTGTCACTCCTCAGTCTGAGCCGCAGAGTTGCAGAGTGTAATAAATACAAAAAACCCAACTTTGAGTATTGTGGGTATTTCGTAGTAAAAAAACAATGTTTCAAGATGCCTCTGGAACATACAGTGTCATTCATAAAGTCGGCATCATATGGGAAAAACTTTTATTAATGACTTATTTTGGAATTCGAGTTGGACGTTAAGTTTTGCTTCAAAAAGGATTGAAAATGGCCTACTCAATCGGGGTCACGTAACTTTCGCTACATGTCAAAAGTGACATTTTTTCAAATTAATCCCTGGAAGTAGGCTCATTTGTTTGAATATCGAAAAAGTTTACTCGAAAAAGTTGTTTCTATTCCAATTTTACACATGCTTCTCGAATTTGATCTTTTTATTGCAACTTTTAGATTTTGATTTTTTTTTTATTTTTCAAAATTTCTGTTATATTTGAAGAATTGTTAATTCCACGAAACAACTTCATACCAGTAGCTTCTTCATGCTACTTACTTTCAATTACTTATTATCACTGATTATGGACAGAAATATGATTTTCTTCAGAAAATGATAATACCCACTTCCAAATTCCAAAGTTGATATATCGTCAAGCATTTAGAAACGAAATTCATTCAAACTGATATTTTCAGTACTAAAAAAATAAATTCAAATGAATTTCGTTTCTAAATGCTTGACTCGAACATAACAGAATTTTGATGTTATGTTTGCATCAAACATAACAGAATTTTGAAGCGGAGATTATCATTTTCTGAAGAAAATCATATTTTTGTCGATAATTAGTGATAATTAGTAATTGAAAGTTAGTAGCATGATGAAACTACTGGTATGAAGTAGTTTTATCTAATTTACAATTGTTTTAATATCACGGAAATTTCGAAAATTTTTAAAAAATATCGAAATCTAAAAAATGTAATATAGATAAAATCCGAGTCACATATGTAAAATTTGAATAGAAACAACTTTTTCGAATGAACTTTTTTGATATTCGAACAAATAAGCCTACTTTCAGCGATTAATTTGAAAAAATGTCACTTTTGACATGTAGCGAAAGTCACGTGACCCCGATTGAGTAGGCCATTTTTCATCTTCTTTGAAGCAAAACTTAACGTCCAGCTCAAATTTCAAAATAAGTCATTAATAAAAGTTTTTCTCATATGATGCCGGCTTAATGAATGACACTGTATAATTACTATAAAGTTCGAAGAATAAGACGCTTTTCTTTTGTCATCCGCAGTGCCGATGAGCCCGGTCAAGATGAAAATCGATATCCCCGCGGCAGACAAGTCCTCCTGTTCAGAACGCTACTTCTCCTTATTGGGCATCGACTTGGCACCAACGCAGATCTGCGCGGGCGGCGAGCCGGACCGAGACAGCTGCAACGGCGACTCGGGCGGCCCGCTCATGCTGCCCGTGACCGACCGAGAGGCGGGCGCCGGCAGGGGCAGTTCGACCACGTGGTACGCGGCGGGGATCGTCAGTTTCGGCATCGGGTGCGGGGTGGAAGGGTGGCCTGGGGTGTACACGAATGTGGTCGAGTTCGTGCCGTGGATCGAGGAGGAGATGGCGAAGAATAGCCTGGTGGCGGGGGTGAAGGGGCCTGGTAAGGTCAAGAAGAAGAGGAGGAGGAACCAGCAGACCGGGCTTTGAATTATTATTGATGATCTGTGTCGTTCATAAAGTCGGTATATGGGGAAAACTTTCGTAGTAATTTTTGTATATAGAGTGCGGAATGCTGTTTTGGTGAACGAGAACTGATTTTTTTAGAGAGGTACAGCCGAGTTATAAGAATTGCCAAAGCTTAGGATAGATTTGTCGAAGTTACAATTAGAAGAAATCGAAAAATATCAAGAAATAAAACGTTCAAATTCGGGACAAATTGTAAAATTGGAATAAAAACAACTTTTCAATATATGATTTTTTTTTAAATTCGAACAAATAAGACTATTTTCAGCCAAAATCACGTGACTTCGACCTAGTAGGCAATTTTTCATCTTTTTTGAATTTCAAAATAGAGTATTGAAAATGGATATTCTCAGATATAATTATTATGAACCTCCACGCTCATCAAGATCAGAGTTCATACAAGTACACTTCTGAATATCAATATCAATTCATCATACACCAAAAAACAATTCAAAATAGAGTATTCTCAAAAGTTTTTTCCATATGATGCCTACTTTATTAACGACACTGTAGTGTTGTGTTTTGTCGATTTGATTGGTGGCGAATAAAAGATGTCTTCGCTCGTATTGTCTGTGAATTTCATTTACCTGGATGCCCTAATCATTTAAAGAGTTTCAAAGAAATCTATATAAAAGTATTGAAGTTAAGAGACCTAAACCAAATTGAAATTGAAAATTCGAAAAAAATTTCCGAAAATATTTTTTCGAATTTTCAATTTCAATTTCGAATTCAAATTCTTTATTCTTTCTAATTTGACAATTATACAATTGCATTGAAAGTTGTTTCTTCACAATAGCTAAAAGCAGATTACTTACTTACAGGACAACCTCATACGAATTATTGGAACGTCAATATTGTGGTCATGTTTGTGGATCAACACCAAAATGTCAGAATTTTAGAAGAATAATTCATCATTATAATTATCGAGGTAAATAAGTCATCCCAACGAAGTCATGCAGAGAAATTCAGTTCAGCAAAATTAAAGCAACAATTTCATTTTGTCTTGAATACAATATTTCAATAAAATATTTCGAATTTTTCATTTCTCTTGAAGAAAACTGAAACTACTGTTCATATTATGCAGTTTACATCTATACAAAAATATTGTCTATAGATTGTCCCTCTAGGAAAAACTGGACCTCCCTGTATACTGATTACTAATGATAAGTCGAGTGATAAGCATATCATATTAGCACACTCTGAAAAGTGAATTAACATTGAACTCCAAATTAATAGATTCAATCCGAAGAGTTTATTTTGTTGTTTATGCTATAAATATGGTCAAGTTGCGTATGGGTTAGAGTTATTACTAACCGCATTCGTTTTTGTCAGGAAATCCTGAACAAAAGTTCTATTTGTTGGAAAAAACAAATAGATAAAAAAGTAAATCACTCACCAATAATATCCTTTCGGGAGTCACCTTCAGATATTCCATAATCCAATCACCAGTAGGAAACCCCATTTCTATAAAAAGAAGAAAATAGTAATATACAGTGTGACCCATTTAAGATGGAAGCACCCTTATAAAACTTACATTCTTCAACCGATTGGAATGATTTTTTTTTGTTAGGTAGATATTCAAAAAGTCTATTAGGACACCAAATATCATGAATAAATCTCCATTTCCAGGGCCAACTAATCTGATTTTTCAAGGTCAAAAATCTAAAAAAATTACTAGCGATTTTTTCAGAAGAAATCTGACTACACCACTGGATTTGTGACATTTTCAAATGGCTAACATGTAAATTACGTTGAAATGCGTCAATCAATAAAAAAGTTATAAAGGAATGAAATTTGAAAAATATGCCGTTTAATCGACCCACCTTTGAAATGTCAAGTGGCCTTACCTCTTTTGTGATACCTCAAATGAACGGTCTTAGTCAGTAGTATTCCCCTGTACAGAATGGAATGCATTTTGAACATCTGATCAAATAAAATATCCTTGTAACACAATTCATTTTATTTTATTCGACTTTATATTTTTCGTACACCCTGTAGTGGGTGGAAAAAAAGGCTTGTACAGGTGAATACTACTGATTAGGACTGTTCATTTGAGGCATCACAAAAGAGGTAGTGCCATTTGACATTTCAAAGTTGGGGTGTGTCGCGCCGACGGGGTGACTCATCCCTTGACTGAAATATAGTGGTTGTAGTTCCCCTTAACTCTTTAGCATTTTTGCCAAACGGCGTTTTTCTAACTTTTTTCTTTCGCGAGATATTCGCATTGGAAGTTTTCAAATTTACACCCTGTATATCAATGCATCGAAATGTTGTCACGTTCACATGAAAAACACATTATATTTCGTCGACGTCTACAGAAAATCACATTTTACGTTCTAATTTCCGATCGAAAAACAGAATATTTCCGAAAGCAAGTACCTTTCGTCCGCAGATACTAACTTTTCGTTCGCAAACACTTCTCGTCCGCTGCACGGATGCCAGTTCTACTGAATTTTCAGTAGATTTCCTGACATACAATTACCATCAAAATTTCAAGAAAATCGCATCATTAATAACTGAGATTTTAAGGTGTAGTCATAAAAAGCGAGATTTTGAAATATTTTTTCAGCTCTTGGGATCTTAAAAATATGAATTGGGGAGTTTTTGGGGATGCTGAATCTTAATTCGATGAAGAAGCTCTCTAAGATCAGCCCTAATATCCTTTTCCCAAATAAAGGCTTTTTTTACCCACCGCAACACCGCACGCCAATGGTAAATAAAAATGTTCACTATGCCAATTACTTTATTGATCCAACATACAATCATCACAAAAATTTTAAGAAAATCGCATCATTCATAACTGACATATTAGGGTGTATTCATATACAGGGTGATTCGCCATAAATGTCCCCCCCTCTAGCTCAGTTATTTTTGAACCGAGTGCAAAAATTTAAATATCATCTGAATGATTTTCGATAAAGTTGTTCGGAACAAACGATTTACAGGGTACTTTTTGATTTTTTTCAAAAGAACACCCTATTTTTCATTGTATTTTTAGATTCTCCCTGAAGAGCTGATTTCATCAATGCATCACACTTGGGGTCTAGCGAAAATGATTACAGGGTGTTCAAAATCGAGATTTTTCAACTTTAGGATTTTTCTGTGACGAAACTATTCATTATCGGTCAAAACGGCTTCCATGTCCGTATCTCAACTTTTGATTCACTGTGTACTGACATTTATTAATTGGAACAGATACAGGGTGATCAGAATTCTGAATCTTGAATCACACTGTATATGTTCCAATTGAATGTCAGTAGATAGTAAATCAAAAGTTGAGATAGGGACATTGAAACCGTTTTGACCAATAATGAATAGTTTCGACACAAAAAAATCCTAAAGTTGAAAAATCTCGATTTTGAACACCCTATATTTCTGTAATCATTCCCTTTAGACCCCAAGTGTGATGCATTGATGGAATCAGCTCTTCAGGGAGAATATAAAAATACAATGGAATACAGGATGTTCCATTTGAAAAAATCAAGTAGTACTCTGTAGATCGTTTGGTCCGAGCACCCTGTATTTTCTGATGCAACGGGAAAAGAATTTCTGAAAAATCATTTTAGATGATTCTTCAAATTTTTAAATCGGTTCAAAATAGGTGAGCTAGAGGGAGGGACATTTATGGTGAATCACCCTGTATCATATTAGCATACTCTGAAAAGTTGATCAACATTGACCGATCTTGATGTTCGTATTCCTTACTGTTTTCAATACCCCAAAGTGAACCTCAAATTGGTACCTACATTCGATTCACGAAGAGTTGATTTTATTGGAGCTGCTAAATATGGTCGAAATTGCGTATGGGCTAGAGTTTTTACTAACCACATTTGTCAGGAAATCCTGGACGAAAGTTTCCAGTTGCTGGAAAATCCTGTAAGCGATAAAACTGAATCATTCACCAATAGTATCCTTTCTTTCGGCCTTACTGAGGTAGACCAAGATAGGAAGCAGTATCGCTTGTCACCTTCAGATATCATTTCATAATCCAATCACCAGTAGGAAACCCCATCTCAATATAAATAGATAAGGAAAATATTATAGTAATTGATAGTCTAATAAGAATCTTTCTCTCTATCTACACAATGCTACAAATGCTGTCACGTTTACATGAATAACATTATAATAATTATTATACACATACCAAAGCCCGGTATTTCCATCAGCAACACTCTTTCATGGGATAATCATGTCAGATCCATCGCAAAAGCTGCTTCACAAAAACTCGGATTCTTGTTCCGCGCGAAAAGCTCCTTTACACCTCAACAGCTCCTCATGATCTACAAAGCGCAGATACGGCCTGTTCTAGAATACTGTTCCCACATATGGGGTTCAGCACCAAAACATACGCTGATGCTCTTAGATTCCATCCAGAGAAGAGCCATCCGCCTGGTGGGTGACGTCACACTCACTCACTCTTTGACATCATTGGAACACCGTAGAAAGGTCGGCGACCTTTCACTTTTCTATCGATACTACCACGGGAAATGTTCTTCGGAAATCTCTGCTATCATCCCTTCACTAGCAATACCAATCAGACGAACTAGACAAGCCCAGTCAGCACATCCTTTTGTTGTCAACCTCGAAAGATGTCGAACAGCACTTTATCAAAACTCCTTCATCCATAGAACGGCTAGGCTCTGGAATTCATTGCCTGAGGAAGTATTCCCAACAACATAATATAATCTCCAGGAGTTCGAAAAAAAATCCAATACCTACCTCCTATCCCTATCCTTCCTAAGAACGCACGATGTTCTTTGAACATTATTGGGATTCCCTTTCGTGCGCTCCAAGCGATGAAAAAAAAAAGAATATTACTTTTATCATCAATGATTCAATTGCGGTGAATCTATCGAAGCCACAAGAATTTTAACATGAGACTTGTCACATAAAGGCCCATTTTATCACAGTAAAATATGTTCCTTGGCTAGCTTCTGGCGAACTCAGCGTAGCTATGTTTGAAAAATATTTTTTTGTCGACCTCTACAAAAAATCATAGTTTTCATTAGAATTTCCGAACCAAAAATCGCCTATTTCCGAAGAAAAGTACTTTTCGTCCGCAGACACTAGCTTTTCGGCCGCAAACACTTTCCGTCCGCTGCAGGGTTGCCAGTTCTAAGGAATAATCGGTAGATCTCCTGATTTGTATATTGATCTATTGGTCTATTAAAACATTTCATAACCTACTGAAGAATATTTTGACACTCATTTATTATCATAATTACCCGTATTATTATTGATCTTTATTAAATCTCATACACTTATGAATTGCATAATATTTCGGCAATAAATTCACATTTTTTTTCATGTTCTGGTTTCCATAAAAAGGAATATCCTGTAATTTTCAGGGAACATCGTGAGAGCCAAGGGAAATAAGGTAGGAATTGGTGTTCTTCTTAAATTTTCTGGAGGATATATGCCTCGAGGAGCACCACCCTTGGCAATGTGTTCTCGCTGTTCGTTGGATGAATGAGTCTTTGGAAAGAGATGTTCTGCAGGTCTCCAAAGTGACCACGAAGGGGTGCGAAGCCTCAACCCGTCGGGTTAATCTCGCGGAGACTGCCAAGGAACGAACAATTGTTGATATTCCAGAAGAGCATCGTCCATGAAAATAACTAATAAATAGAGCCAGATCGCCAACTTTTCTAGGGTGTTCCAGAGAAGTGAGTGAGTTTCTGAGCGAGGCATCACCCACGAGACGAATTGCCCTTTTTTGGACAGAATTCAAAAGTTTCAGGGTATGTTTGGGTGCTGCACTCCAAATATGGGAACAGTATTCCAGGACAGGTGGGATCTGTGCCTTATAGATCGCTGACTGGAAGTGAAAAAGCTCCTGGCCCGAAACGGAAAACCAAGTTTTTGAGATGCACTTTTAGCAATCGATCTCACGTGATTTTCCCAAGGAAGGTTATTGCTGATAGTAATACCAAGCATCAAAATGGATGTCTTCAAAGGTATGGTTACTCCTGACAAGCTTATGTTGGGCACGGCGAGATCGGATTTTCTAGAGGAAAGGCATGCTTGTGTTTTGTTTGCATTGAAATCTACCAAGTTATTGGATCCCCATTCGAGAATTGTTGCCAAGTCCATATTCATGTTGTCAACATTTCTCCCCCGTTCGTTTCTGATTTGCCAGGCTGGTATTGGAGCCTTTTCAAACATGAAGGCCTCCTGAAGCTACCAAAGCCACAGATTCATCTGTGAAGGAGATAATAAGAAATATAAGAATTGCCGTTGAATGAAAACTCACTCACTTCTCTGGAACACCGTAGAAAAGTTGTCGATCTGATGGCTCTATTTTATAGATATTTTCATGGACGATGCTCTTCTGAAATATCAACAATTGTTCCTCCTTTGGCAGTCCCCGAGATTAACCCGTTGAGTTGAGGCTTCGCCCCCCTTCGTGGTCACTTTGGAGACCTGTAGAACACCCCTTTCCAAATACTCGTTCATCCAACGGACAGCGAGGCTCTGGAACACATCGTTAAGGAAGGTGTTCCTAGAGGCATATAACCTCCATAAATCTCAGAAGAACACCAATTTGTACCGTAATATCCTTGGTTCTCATGATGTTCTCTGAACATTACAGGATATCCGTTTTCGTGGGAACCAGAACATCGTCCTTGGTGAATGAATAACTATTTCAAACATGAAAATTGGCTCTGAAGGTCTCCTGAAGCTACCAATGCCACAGATCCATCTATGGAGGAGATTAAGAGAAATATGAGGATACAGTGTTATAAATTGCCCTTGAATAAGCTCTACAATTCTACCATAACGGATCATGAAAAAAAAAAATTTCAAAAATGGCTTCGCTGAATTCGGCCTAAGCTAGCAAAGCCACAGATTTTCCTATAATATAAAGAAAAGGACGGGAAACTTGGGAAACTTGAGAATGAGGTAATACATAAGCCCGAACATCAGCCTACAATAATGCAAGTCCCATGTTGAAATTTGCATGTGTCAACCGACCAATACAAGAGAATGTCGAAATAAATTCAACAAAAATTCGCTAAATAATTGTTGAAAAATGGTCATCCAGAATAGTTAATTCTGCTAATTGATTTGAACAACTGTTGGTATAGACGTGTAAACGCAGTCATATACTGGGATTACCAATATCAACCGTACTCAACATTCTATTGGCTTGTCGAAAATTGAATAAGAGTAAACTGGTAGGAAAATGTCTGCTCAGTGTTGGGTTCGAAGAAGTCAAGGCAGACGTGATTATTTGCCATCATATCGATAATAATGTGGTGTGGAAGATGTTTATTTGTTTGTTCAATTTTGCTTCTATTTGGATCTTATGTTGATGCACGTGAGTATAAATATTTTTTTGAAAATTTTTCAGAAAATTCTTTTTACTGACTCAGTATAATCAAATTATTTTTGCCTATATTTCATATTACTTCTGACAAAAAATCAGCCGAGCTGATTCATCAGGATCAAATAGTTACATATTTTATTTTTAGTTTCAAAAGAGTAATTACTTCGATTCAAATGACCAAGAATATGGAAGTTAGGTGTATTCGAAATTCAGAATCCTCATTTCTTATGACATTTTGACCTCAATCTTTTATCAAATTCATAATGTTGATGTGAACTTATTGATTTGACGTCAGTATTTACGTGCTTTTCAATAAAGTGCAATTCTACGAAGTCTACGCAATGGACGAACTGAAATACGGAAAATCATATTTTATCATATACTGGTTGTTTATGAGAGGGGGAGGGGGACAGTAAAATAAACATATCATTTTTCAAACCCTACCAAGACTCAAAATATACGATCTTGTACTTTGAATAAAATATTGGAAACCATGAAATTTCGGAACAAGACCCCATTTTCTTCTCGAAGTTCTACAAGTTACCTCTATACAAATTTCTAAAGTGATGTTCATTTTTTGAGCAATTTTTATGATGAAATCTATAGTTATTCAGGAAATACACCGTTTCCAAGATGCAGGGTGTCACAGATGAAAAAATATCGGATGTTCGTAAATAGCGCAAAAATCTATAGTCCAATTTTGTTATTGAAATCGTTGTCTCTTGAAAACCATGGATATGAAATCGCCCCTTGTATATTATTTACTCATTTCGAAATCACTTTCTAAAAAAAATAGTTTCACCAGAGAAACTATAACATAGTGTCAACAATTAAAACTTTACTGATTATTTGCGAGATATATCTGCCAGCAGACTAGCAAATTTTTTTCGAGCTGTTCGACATTTTCTCTATTTTGAAAATGTATGTGTAGTTGCGCGAAATGTACTTTTGGACATTAAGATTGATTGATTTTTCTTCGAAATCGATTATATCAATTGGATTACTCTCAATGGGCTTATATCACAAGAAAAATGTATTTCGTAATTCGAGAGAACTCACCCAAACTAGCTCACCACCGCAAACCGTTTCTTGCTGTGAGCTCCCTACGTTTTGTGAAAAATCATTGAAATCCCCGATTTTTCGGACCTCTGAAAACGAGGCGATGATGTGACGTCAAAACCCTAATACTGAAACAAGACTATTCCAGACAGAGATCAATGATACATGATTTCTGTCAGAGTGAATCAGCGCGAGGTTACAGTTGAAAGAATAAATAATATGTTGCCTCAGTCTCCGTCGGGCGTTTGGTATTTTCTTTTAACTACACACACTGGCACAATTAGGGGAACGGGCAAAATTTACACTAAGTTTGACATCAATTTTCTTTCGAACCGATCGCTCGATTCAAATTTTTTTCTTCACGAAATGTAGCTTCATTCTTCACGAATACATTTGAGAAATGATTACCTTCAAACGATGAGTCTTTCCATCATATACAGGGGTGTAAAGAAAGTACGGATTTTTCGGTATTTTAGACATCCTGTGGACTGAGCCACTGATAATTGAAACGATTTCTCAACACCAAATTTTAGCCCAATCAATACAGAGTTTCAAAGGAAAGGTGGATATTGGTATCAATTTTACACCTCAAAACTCAAATTGGATCTGAAAATGTGTCGTTTCCTGACTATCCTAACCTAACCATGACTAAACCTCTGCCATAGGAGACAGAAGCAGTAAAATCATATTGTTCATTTTGTTCACCTCGGCGATATAGTCTTTCCCTGCCATCTATTGATTTGGTGCAGATGCGGCTCTCATATTATGTTAAAAGAACATTGGCCCACTGGTAATTTTCAATTAATGCTACAACCCTCGCCACATGAGTAGGAGTCAATTCTCTCACGTTGAATTTTCATTAATCAAATTTATGAATTGTGAATCGCTTGACTTTGACAATAATTAATGACATAAACAAAATAGCCAACGTTGATTAACAAAAATAGCATTTCACCAAAAGAACATTGGAGCAACTTTTATCACCCCTGCATATTCATGAGAGTATTCGTATATGTGTCTTTAAACAGTAAACCGATAGATAAAACTGTGAACAATTCTCATCTTGAAGTAAAAATCCTCACAGAAACAAGTTGAAAAACGACACGTTCTCCCCAGTTCGAGTTTCGAGGTGGTTAAATTAATACCAATATCCACCTCGTCTTTGAAACTCTATATTTTCTTGGATAATTGGGATATCAAGATAAATAAAAAACGAAAATATTCGGGATAGATTGGGCTATAATTTGGTGTTGGAAAATCGTTTCAATTATCAGTGGTTCACTCCACAGGATGTCTTGAAGAATACCGAAAAATCCGTACTTTCTTTACACCCCTGTATATGATATAAAGACGAATCGTTTGGATGTGGTTATTTCACAGATGTATTCGTGGAGAATGAAGCTACAATTCGTGCAAAACAAATTTGAATCGAGTGATCGGTTCGAGAGATAATTGATGTCAAACTTAGTGTAAATTTTACCCGTTCCCCTAATTGTGCCAGTGTGTGTATATGGCGAGATGAGGTTTCTACGTCATAAGAGACTCAAAAGACATATAGGTAGCGCCACCCCCAAGAAAGAGACAAACTAACATAAAATTTGATATTCTCATCGAAAAATTCCCCTAGAAACCAAATTTTATTTAAATATCACAATTATTTTGAAATTTATTAACAAAAAACAAAAATGAGGATTCAACTTCAACTTTCTGTATCTCAGACACGGATAACTTTCGGACATACGTTTATACGAACTTTTCTTCTCATTTTGACGTCAGTAACATGCTCCTGAATTTTCTACACGTACTTAAGAAACAACCTGTACATTTATAGAACGCGGTAATGCTTGTCGCACCCCCAATGGCGAATGGGCACGCTGCACCTCCATCTACGACTGCAACCGGCTGCTGAACGCGGTCCAGACCAAGGACACCGTGCAGCTGCGGTTCCTGCGATCGTCGCAGTGCGGCTACGACAGCGCGCCGCTCGTCTGTTGCGGCGCGGCCGACAACTACGCGCAACAGCAACAACAATTGGTGGGACGAGGGCTTCCGGTAGGACTTCGGGGGGCAGCAGGAACGGGCAGTTCCGCAGGAATCGCGCCCTGCCAGACAGGTCCGGCTGCGGATTTCAGGTGAATTTCGAGGGATATTCAATTCGACAAGATGGTCTATCCCTCAGACTAAATAACAATACAGTCTGTATAATATTTCTTTGCGTGTGACTGAAATTAGCATAGGCCTACGCGCAACTTGCTATCCTCTTCAGACTTGCGTATAGAAGAATATCATCATGATGTACATAATTTTAGCGTGTCGCTGATGCCCTCAATATTAGTGTGCGGACAGTTTCGAGTACGCCAGGGAAATCTAGGACTAAAAAAAACCCAAGACAGTAGATCTGGATGATAATTTGAAAATGTACGTAATGTGATCTATACTATGTATGCAGAAAGTAAGTGATTCCATTTGATACTCCTTGAATACCTTCATCTGGCTATTTTACAGGAAAACACTTCACTCTTAGAATTTTGAAAGAAGAACCCAGAACTGAATATATTCTTGACGCAAGTATAGGCACATCAAGCAAACTCCTCACAAATGTAGGATTCAAATATAAAAAAAAAGAAAACAGACAGTTATTGATTGAGAAGACGGACATATCTATAATGAGAGCAGAGTTTTTCAGAAATTTTTATGAAAATCGCAATTCTAGTTACCCTAGACAAATCTTCATCTTGTCTTAGATGAAACTTGGATATTTCCGTGAGGGAATAAGATGAGATCATGGCAAGATCAATGTACAAAAAGTGTGTATATAGGGACAAAAACCAACCCATACGTATATACATACCAAAGTTCTGATGTTTTCTACTTCAATAAATTGACGAATTAAAGAGTTGAAACTTGAAATATAAACCAATCCTATGTTTTATTGAATGTTTCTTAGTCAAAATTATCTGGAGTAGTGAATAATTTTTTTTGAATATTATTATTTATTTTAACTCAATTTCTGAAACAGCAGGGCACTAGTGGCTTCACTGGAACATATGACCTTGAATTGATTTGATTCGTTTTTTGAAGTTGTGACGTACGCGCAAAGAAATATTATACAGACTGTACATGGGCATCGCGATGTATTCATAGATCCTCAAAAATTATACGATACGCCATTAATGCTAAACATCTAACACGAATGAATGAATGAAATCACGAATGGTGTGGATAATCCTGTGGAATTATTGCTAGAGAAAATCATTCCATAGAGAAACATTAGAATATCTAAAGAATCAATATTTCGATTATTATAGGTACATGGTGGCTGGAATTCGATCCTCACCATTGGGATTTCGTAAACCGTAAGAGATACAGGGTCGAACAAATCACGACGATGTAGCGCTATGTTATGCCTAACTATATGGCGTTTTGGAACTTGGAAAATTCCGAATACTTTCGGGGATATAAGAAAAAACGAGAATTTCCTAAAACCCTCTCTATTTCTTCTTCATGATATTAGAAGAAATTAATTACACTCTTTGGGAAGCACTTTTTCTTCCCTACAAGTTGTCGTTTTCGAAATTGAAATCTGATGTTTCGTCTTCAAGAAATCATCAATTTATTTTTTTAAATATCGACTTGTATTATTCTTCCTATTTTCGAACGGTTCGTTCATAAAAAATGATAATATATCAATTATGACCAAAAAAATATAAATTCTAAAATCTTCGCGACCATTTGTTTGTTGCATCTCTTTATCTAATGTCCCGCCAGGAAGTAGCTATGGCTTTCAATCTGAGTTTTTAATACGTCTAAAATCTCTTTCATGTTTACAAGAACGTGTTTCGCCAATGAAATGTATTTTTCTACGGCTATAACACAAGATCAATATCATCAATTTTATTTCCGTATCTGATATCACAATGACTCCATTGTGTTATCATTTCAAGAAAAACTCAACGCCCATGGAATGTCAAATTTCAAATGACAGCTATGTCTAATAGATGAGCATACTTGACAGGAAATCAGATGGCTACAAGACGAAGAAATCGAAAATGCCGCTGTTATCTATATTATAGCCGTAGAAAAATTTTAGTGTATAACTTGCATGGAATACTAATTTCCTACTCGAATGATTGCAGCATTCGCCTATGGCTCATGCTTCATTCTCGTAGGAAATCACTATCATTCCGTGCTCGTTAAACAATATTCTTTTTTTTTATCGCTTGGAGCGCACGAAAGGGAATCCCTATAATGTTCAAAGAACATCGTGCGTTCCTAGAGAGGATAGGGACAGGAGGTAGGTATTGGAATTTTTTTGAACTTTCGAAGATTATATGTTGTTGGGAATACTTCCACAGGCCATAAATTCCCGAGCCTAGCCGTTCTATGGATGAAGGAGTCTTGATAAAGTGCTGTTCGACATCTTTCGAGGTTGACAACGAAAGGATGTGCTGACTGGGCTTGTCTAGTTCGTCTGATTGGTATTGCTAGTGAAGGGATGATAGCAGAGATTTCCAAAGAACATTTCCCGTGTATATATACTATAGTACCTCATAGAAACGGACTCGGCGTGTACTTTTAGTTACTTCTTGTTATCATCAGGGACTTATTTGTCACAATTAGCCGTCCCCAATATCTGACCGCTCTAGGCTCAGGCCTACTGTGCCTTATGGAAAACCCGTTCGAACACTACTTATTGTACATTTTTCATAATAATCTAATCCTGAATCATCTGCATTCAAGTTTCAATTTGTATAAATTGACTGTCATTTTCAGGATACCGACAGAATCTATCACGGAAACGAAACCAGCCTAGAAGAATTCCCGTGGATGGCGTTGTTGCAATATCGAAACGCTTCCGGCTTCACGAAATGGGCATGCGCAGGCGCACTTATCAATCCAAGATACGTTCTGACAGCCGCCCATTGTGTCACAGGGCTTAGCAGAAGGGCAGGAAATTTGTAAGTGGATTTTTCATCGAGCTAACAGTGAACTTTTGAACAGAAGTCGGGAGAAGTTCAGCTAAAAAAGGTACCCCTTTTAGTACTTTTTATCATAAAATTGGTTGTGATCACGTGGTCTATAGTGTCGATTGGCACCATCAACTTTTTTGAAGGTAGAGGGGTCACGTGGTACCTTGTTTTTGAAGGTCTTTCGATTCTCTATTCAACAACGCTCCGTTTGTTTAAATGACAAACGTTCGAAATTTGCTTCAAATAATCATATAAAAAATAAGGAAACTGAATAACTTTCATTTGCATCATGATTTCGAGTAACAATTGCAACAACTGCTCAAAAATGCTTGAAATGCTGACCATTTATTTACTGACAAGGAATAATCGATTTTGGAATCCAATCCGAACGTTATTTACTGTTTCCGTGTTTAATTTCAAAAGCTTGTCATTATGGCCGATTTGCACAAACTAATAAGCAGTGTTTATAGATAACCAAAAGGCCTTCAAAACAAAGTACCACATGACTCCTTTTTGAATTTGAAAAAAAGTTGATCGTGCCCACTTTACACTAGCCACGTGACCCCAACCATTTTCATTCCTTAAAGTAGTAACAGGGGTATTTTTCCCACCTGAATTTTGCCCCATCTCGCTATAGCTTGTCCCGATCAAAATTTGAAGTACGGGGAACAGAGGGGAAATATTTGAATTCACTAGAGATCAGGATAAATTCAATTGAAGCTTGAATAGATTATTATACTCACCCTATAACATATGAGAGTTGAATCGTTTGAGAGTTTCGTGCTGCTGAGATTGAACTGAGCTTCGAACCCTGAAACAAAAATAAAAATGGAAATAACTCATCTCGAATGCAGTTCATAGCGAATGAAATTCATAATTCTGATTGAAGTTCAGGATTTATAGTAGAGAACCGATCTCCTACCGATTGAGTCTATAAAAAAGTGAAATCTATCTCAAAATGTAAATAAACCAGTCCTCTCTCAACTCTTTTCCAATGAATGAGTATATTTTTCTGACTCGATGAGAATTTTTCAACTATATTTTTCCACATGTCAAGACGAATCCATCATGGCACCCAGTCGCCATTTTGAAAGATAGACAATTTCAATGTCCACCAGAAAGCTGTGTATATTTAAAGGTCCATTCATTCGTTTCTAGAATCAATGTCAGACTGGGTGAACACAATACCGATACAGACATCGACTGCGAAGGACCGAGATATTGTAATGAACGCCCTGTAGATGTGGCCGTTGAAAGTACCGTGTTCCACGACGGTTACGACAGAAACAATGATAACAGATACAACGATATCGCATTGGTCAGGCTCAGCAGACCAGTTCAATATTCGAGTAAGTATAGTACAGCACTACGAGAATCAGAAAAGTGACTAGCCATCAATAAAAAAATATAACAGAGATAATTTGGATTTAAATACACAAATGTTGTTACTATGAGCTCTCAAGGAAAGAAGGTTTTACAATATGAATTATGAAAAGTAGATTTTGAAATGATCCAATAGAAATTCACGACAAAATTAGCGTCAATAGAAGGAAAATATGGAGCTCAGAAATACCAGTAATATAGCTAACAACATGATTGACGTAATCCCCACACATCGAGGTCGTCCATATTCCTTCAAGGCCAATCTGTTGAGAATTCTCCTCGCAAGACCATCCCGCCCAACTACAATACTTAGGTTACTAGATCTGGTAACATATCTTAGGTTAGGTTACTAGATCTGGTAACATATCTTAGGTTAGGTTACTAGATCTGGTAACATATCGTTGGTTAGGTTACTAGATCTGGTAACACATCTTAGGTTAGGTTACTAGATCTGGTTAGGTTACTAGATCTGGTAACATATCTTAGGTTAGGTTACTAGATCTAGTAACATATCTTAGGTTAGGTTACTAGATCTGGTAACATATCTTAGGTTGGGTTACTAGATCTGGTAACATATCTTAGGTTAGGTTACTAGATCTGGTAACATATCTTAGGTTGGGTTACCAGATCTGGTAACATATCTTAGGTTAGGTTACTAGATCTGGTTACATATCTTAGGTTAGGTTACTAGATCTGGTAACATATCTTAGGTTAGGTTACTAGATCTGGTAACATATCTTAGGTTAGGTTACTAGATCTAGTAACATATCTTAGGTTAGGTTACTAGATCTGGTAACATATCTTAGGTTAGGTTACTAGATCTGGTAACATATCTTAGGTTGGGTTACCAGATCTGGTAACATATCTTAGGTTAGGTTACTAGATCTGGTAACATATCTTAGGTTAGGTTACTAGATCTGGTAACATATCTTAGGTTAGGTTACTAGATCTAGTAACATATCTTAGGTTAGGTTACTAGATCTGGTAACATATCTTAGGTTGGGTTACTAGATCTGGTTACATATCTTAGGTTAGGTTACTAGATCTGGTAACATATCTTAGGTTGGGTTACCAGATCTGGTAACATATCTCAGGTTAGGTTACTAGATCTAGTAACATATCTTAGGTTAGGTTACTAGATCTGGTAACATATCTTAGGTTGGGTTACTAGATCTGGTAACATATCTTAGGTTGGGTTACCAGATCTGGTAACATATCTCAGGTTAGGTTACTAGATCTGGTAACATATCTTAGGTTAGGTTACTAGATCTAGTAACATATCTTAGGTAGGGTTACTAGATCTGGTAACATATCTTAGGTTAGGTTACTAGATCTGGTAACATATCTTAGGTTGGGTTACTAGATCTGGTAACATATCTTAGGTTAGGTTACTAGATCTGGTAACATATCTTAGGTTGGGTTACCAGATCTGGTAACATATCTTAGGTTAGGTTACTAGATCTGGTAACATATCTCAGGTTAGGTTACTAGATCTGGTAACATATCTTAGGTTGGGTTACCAGATCTGGTAACATATCTTAGGTTAGGTTACTAGTTCTGGTAACATATCTTAGGTTAGGTCTCAATCAATTTTTTTTAATTGGAATGCCCAGTATATTTGCATATTTTCTGAAGCATTTCTGCTTCGAAAATTCCTGAAAATAGCAAAAATCGCAAAAATTCCTGAAAATAGCAAAAATCGCAAAAATCGCAAAAATTCCTGAAAATTGCAAAAATTGCAAAAATTCCGGAAAATTGTAAAAATTTCAAAAAATTCCTGAGAATTGCAAAAATCGCAAAAATGCCTAAAAATTGCAAAAATTCCTGAAAATTGCAAAAATTTCTGAAAATTCCGGAAAATTGTAAAAATTCAAAAAATCGCAAAAATGACTGAAAATTGCTAAAATTGCAAAAATTCCTGAAAATTGCAAAAATTTCTGAAAATTGCAGAAATTGCAAAAAATCCTGAAAACTGCAAAAATCGCAAAAATGCCTTAAAATTCCTAAATTCCTGAAAACTGCAAAAACCGCAATTAACAGGTCTCACCTTTCTCAAATATGTGAGGTTTTGTATCCCTTTGATCTGGCACAATTTCACAAATAGGTAGGAATTCTACGAGCCACAGAAAAACAAAACACGACCCAGCCCTCTCAACTTTTCATTAAAAACTGAACGAATAGAAATAAAATAAAATGGCAAATGAAAAATTCACCGCGTATTATGAAACCTTTTCATAGTAATAACGTTTGGCGTGATTGATCCATGGGTAGGCAGCATTAATTTGGCGCCTGTTTTGGAAGTTGATGTTTCATTTCATGAAATCAACGTTTAGTGTTCATTGAAACAATGAAAACCATTCATTATTTTCTTATGTTTGTTGTTGATAGATCTATGACGAAAAGTTTATTGCTCCAATGATGAAAAACAGATCAATAAACATCAAACGTTGATTCAATGAATTTTTTCATCACATGAATAAAAAAAATTATTAACTTTTGATGTTTTTCGTTCATTGTCAATGTTGGCTCGTTCATTGTTTCAGTGTCTTGCGGTATGAACCCATCATCATAAATGATTGTAATAATCATCGATTCGTAATATTAATGTTCAAAAAATTGACGACCGCCGTTCATTAACTTTATACGTACAAAATTATTTTCTGTGTAATTACAAAATTAAGCTCTCAAATGAGGCCTTTAATAATTGCATGAGGAATCTTGCAATTATATTTCAATCAGCTCAATTTTCGGATTAATTTTTCAATTATAATTTTGACTAGCTCAATTGACAGATTGATTTTGCAATAGTTATTATAACTAACTAATATAACAAAATAACTTTGTAATCATAATTATCGTCATTTGAGTCTCAAAAGCAATCAGCTAGATGTACAGGGTGATTCAAACTTCCCGCCCCTCGCTCATAACAGGAAAAGTGAAACTGCAAATGCAAATTCGGCAGAGGGGATTTGAATAGCTGTGTGTAAGGTATATTTTTTCGTATTTGAACATATTTCAACTCTATTCAAAATGGCGGAAATGACGTCAGAAAAGTTATTGTTTCCACAAAGTCACCATTTTTTCTCATATTCTGAAAAAACATAAACATCTTCCATCCCAAAACCTGATAGCTGTGGGACTCCAAAGTTGGTATTTTCAAATGAACCTCAAATGACTCCGCCGCACTAAGATTTGCTCACAAAACAATTTGTTTTCTGGCAGTCTTGATTTTTATTACGGCGGGCTCATTTGAGGTTTATTTGAAACTGCCAACTTTGGAGTCCCACCGCTATCAACTTGATGAAGATAGAAAAAAAGTTTTGGGGTGAAATATGTTAAAAATGTTATGCTTTTTCAGAATATGAGAAAAAAATGGTGACTTTGTGGATAAAATAACTTTTCTGACGTCATTTCCGCCATTTTGAAAAGAGTTGAAATATGTTTAAATACTAAAAAATATACCTTTCACACAGGTATTCAAATTCTCTCTGCCAAATTCGCATTTGCAGTTTTACTGTTTTTGTTATGACCGAAGGGCGGGAAGTTTGAATCACCCTGTACAGAATAATTTCCCAATCAGCTCAATTGGCGGAATATTCTTGCAATTATACTTTTGGTCAATCGATCCGTAAAAAAATTAGCTCAATTTACAGAACAGCGTTGCAATTAGCTCGATTGATGAAATTATCTAGCAATCATAATGTTCAACGAACAATATTGTTTTATCGCAACCAGCTTGATTGACAGATTGATCTGGCAATAATTCGTCCAATTGCAAGATGATATTCTTGCAATTATCTCAACCATCAGAATTAGATTGCAATTAAAGGAGAACGAAAAAAAAATTGATTCATGAATTTTGACCCCTCAGGGTTCTCATAAAATTGAGATTTTGTACTGAAGTGATTTCAATTTTTTCCCCCCATCAGATTTCATCCGACCGATTTGCCTGCCCGAGCCAAACGAAGTGGCGAACGTCGGTGAAAACGTGATCGTAGCTGGATGGGGAGCTACCGAGCTGCTCACCCGCAGCCCCATCAAGCTGAAGCTGCAGCTGCCAATCGCCGATAAGGATCAGTGCTCGAGGACGTTCAGGACTGCCGGGATCAGCCTGAGGGAGTCACAGATTTGCGCAGGGGGTCAGGAGGGCAGGGATTCCTGCACAGGTAACGGGAATATTATTTTAACCAACTCTACTTCTGCAGGAAATTAACACACCACCAACAAGTAGCCAAATGTTTAGACAACATTTTCGTCAGTACTACTTGTCAGATTTTGACGTTTATTGTTTTGAATTACAGGTCAATACTATCTGAACATTGGTGTGCTAACCAGCAAAGTCAATTTATAATCCGGAAGATCTGTAATAATTCAATTTCAAAGGTATTTTATAAAAGCTTCCGAAATGTATTTTCATTTTATTGGGTCAGCCATAAAAACCATTCTGTCGTTGACATCCAGGGTGTTTATAAATTCATCTCTGAAATGTTTTCATAGCTGGAATGAAAAATATTTAATGAAACTGTCGTCAAATCATTCGTAAAGAATATTTAAGGTCGTCTCTGCCTATAAAATTGAATTATTTTATAGATACTTTCATGTGACTGCGGCGATATTTATAATTTTCGTATGAATTATCATAAACATGTTTTATTGTTATATCCTGTGACCTTAAACAACAGTTATATTAGAGTTCCTTCAGAAACAATTCCGATTTTATGAGAAAAAAGTTGTTCAAGTGACCACTTCATGACTATTTCATAATATCCATTTCTACCGCGAAATGAAAAGCGCAACGAATGTGTCATAAAATGATTTTTGTATCAAAAATGGATCTGTTGCCGATTTCACTGCTAACTACATGAAAAAAAAAAACATGTATTCAATAATCATACCACCAGCTACCATGAGCAAGTTATGTGATAACGAATAATAATGTCGGATATACGTAAATGGAAAAAGATATGAAACTAAATTTCTTAGTTAAATCAGAAATACTGTCTGTAGGTTAATCGAGGAGGTGGTACTTAATTTTCTCTCCTCGTTTCTATAAAATAAAAGTATGAGTATTATTTCAATATAGGTTCTATATACCGGGTGTCAACGAATCTATTAAACAAGTCATAACTTCTAGACCATTAGGTGTATCAAAATGAGATTTGGTATAGTTAAATGGTATGTGAAGAGGAGAGTTTTCACATATTTTTTACTTTTCGGTAACTTCCGGTTTAACCGGAAATGACTCCGGTTCTGAATTTTTGAATGGAACACCCTGTATATTGTAACATTTTTGGATTTCTGAGACAATTCTAGATCAGAATGTGACATTTTCGTTTTTATGCTTTCTTAATTTTTTCGGAGTCACTTTTGAAATTACATCTAGGTGGCCATGATTTGAAGTAAACTAATCTAAGGACCTCAGGTGATATCAGAAATTTACAATCGCGAAGTTTTAGTGACAAGTATGATAAATATGAATAAGAAAAGTTGGCAAAATTACATTTTCGTGTCTAACTATTGATTTTCAAATGGCGACCATTTTTTGACAAGCACTTTCCGAAAAAAGAATATTTTGACGAATTTAACGATACTGATTTATGTGCGATTGGATTACAAATAAGAACATAAATTAAATATTACTGACGAGAATACTTCATAATAATTTATTTACTTTTGTCAAGTGTGCCGAGGATAGGCATGATGCATAATATTTTGCAGTTATTTCGAAAGTAAATGAATTATTATCCAGAAAAAAATAGTGTATTATACACGGGAAAAATATTAGATTTCATCTCACCGAGCTAAAATCTACTACTTTTGTCCCTTGTATAATAAATAACTATTTATTTTCAGGCGATAGCGGCGGACCCCTGATGCAGACTTCGAGAAACGATACTTCTCAATGGTACTTGGAGGGCGTTGTATCTTTTGGGGCCAGGTGCGGCTCTGCAGGATGGCCAGGAATATACACCAAAGTGGAAAGTTATCTCGAATGGATACACGGCGCCGTACGAAACTGATCGATGAAATAGTATATTGAAACAATTCAACTGTTTTGGAAAACCTCCAAAAAATAAATTTTCCTCGAAGTTTGGAATTTAGTATTATATCAATGTAAGTGTAGTGATGCGTATACATGGTGTCCGGAAATTACGCATTAGAAAAGATGAAATTTATTTCATGTATACGTGGGTCCGAAAATGCATAGTTTTCAAGATACAGTGAATTAAATTTAAAAAAATCGGCTTTTCTATTAATATCTCAAATATCCTTGCACCGATTCTCTTGAAATTTGGTAATGATATTTTTTGTCATGAGGTGCCGATTTAGCTACAATTAAATTGGAATTGTGAAATCCAATGGCGTCCTGGAGGCAACCTACCGAATATTATTGTCAATAAAATGTGCGCCACTGATTTTTTCAAATACTTCATCTTAATTTCCTATTTATTAACTGGAAATACAACATTTTGGTGTCTTGGATTGTTTCGATATTTTGCTTCGTTTCCGTGAAAAAAAAAACAATATATTGTGCAAAACATTCCTTTAAAAACAGGGGTGAAAATAAATTGATCTCCATTCTAATTTTATGTCTATGGACATGGATCACGCATTTATTTTCACCCCAGTTTTTCAAGGAATTTTTTGGCACAATTTATGCAATAAATTGATTTTATTTTCATATAATCTCCAAAAATTCAAAAAAAATTCCAATACCTACCTCCTGTCCCTATCCCCCCTAGGAACGCACGATGTTCTTTGAACATTATAGGGATTCCCTTTCGTGCGCTTCAACCGATAAAAAAAAAAAAAAAAAAAATTATTAAAACAATTCAAGAAATCAAAATGTTGTATTTTCAGTTGGTGAATAGATTATGAAGATACAGAATTCAAAAAAATCAGTGACGCAAATTTTATTGACAATAATATTCGGTAGGTTCACCCCCAGGACGCCCCTGGCTTTCATAATTCCAATAGAATTATGGCTATATCAGCCCCTCATGACAAAAAATATCATTCGCCAAATTTCAAGAAAATCGGTGGTAGGACTTTTGAGATATTCATGAAAAACTATATTTTTTAAAAGTTTCAACACACTGTATGTTGACAACTATACATTTCCAGACTCACGTTCTTATAAAATGAATTCCTTATTTTATCATGTAGAATCGCCCCTTTGATTTTTCGCGCATCAGTTCCGGACACCCTGTATATCAAGTGACCATAGGGTTAGGTTATCCCCCGTAACTTTGTTAATCGATGGTATCAATATGTAAATTCTTGTGAAATAATGTATACTTTCGAATATATTCGAATCGAGTGATTGTTTCTATTTCAAGTTCGTCTTTTATTCGGAATTTATTATGTGATTTTATATGAACATATTATTTCTTAAATATGTCACAATAAATAATGAAGCTGATTCTGAATGATTCAATGAACTGACAAAGATCAATGATTTTCTGATATTCAATACTTCGTTTTTTCAAACATGCGAAAAATATCGGGAATTTGATATAGATGAATCAATTCGCTTTATGATTACAGAAGGGGAAATTTTGCTTCAGAAGCGAAACATTCTTTGTTCTTATCATCACAAAATACAACAATAGAAAATAAATGTATAAACTGTAATATTTGTATATGATTATGTATAACAAATTTCGTAGATATTTTTCATGATTAAATTATTTTTCCAATATTCCAACAGTTTCTATGTTTTTCATTCCATTTTGAGGAAATCCCAATATTCCAGGATTTTCACAACACTTACACAATTTAATTGACGAAATTTCTCAGTAGAATACTTTTTCTACAGAACGTCAAAAGATGACAAGGTTCACGCATTGATAACAATTCACGGGAAACGTTCTCCAGAAATCTCTGCTATCATTCCAAGACTATAGCAATACCAGTCAGACGCACTCGACAAGCACAGTCAGCACATCCGTTCGTTGTCAACCTCGAAATATGTCGAACAGCACTAAATCAAATCTCGTTCCTCTATAGAACGGGAAAGCTCTGGAAATCATTGCCTAAGAAAGTATTTAAATAAACTTCTTTCTCTCCAGGAATTCAAAAAACATTCCAACACCTACCTTCTCCCCCTATCCTTTCTAGGTACGCAGGATGTTCTTCGAACCTCATAGGGATTCCCTTTGGTGCGCACCAAGCGATAAAAAAAAGTGACACTCTTGTCCAGATGAGCGAAGTAATAATAATAATAATAATAATAATAATAACAAAAATCAAAGAAACAATCCATTTCTGAACAATGATTGAGGCCTCTGAAGCAAAAATGTTGATTGCAACTCGTGCGCAAAATACTACTTTGGTCAGAACCTTCGATTCGGCTGTGCCTCGATTAAATATTCAGTTCTTAAATTAGCATTGTGCACACTACACCTTTTCCAATTTTAGTTCAAAAATGGTCATTTGTATTTCCGAATTGTCATTTGGTTTTCGAAAAGCATCATTTGTATTTCAGATTAATCAATTCAATTTCGAAAAGTATCAAATATATTTCGAAAATATCAATTCAATTTCAAAATTCGTCCATTGTATTTTAAATTAGTCATATTAATTTCAAAAAACATCAATTGTATTCCAAAATTATCAAATTAATTTCAGAAACTAACACTTCAAATTCCAAAATAGTCATTTGTATTTAAAAAAATATCAAATGTATCTCATAATGCATCATTTGGATTTCACAACTGAAAAACCACAGGCAAAGGTTATAGATAATAGTTATTGAGTGATATTTTCATTCACCCTGTTATTGAAATAATGCATTACGTAATTGAAATGAAATTGTTTGAAATTAAAATGAATAATTTGAAACAGACTTGACGCATTCTGAAATTGAATTGATAAATCTGAATTACATTTGATAATTTTTGAAATTGAAATGACTAATTTGAAATACAAATGACGTATTTCGAAATTGAATTGATAATGCTGAAATAAAATTTATACTTTTTGAAATTTCAATGACTGATTTGAAATACAATTGATACTTTTTGAAATCAACTCGACGCTTTTTGAACTAAAATTGGAAAAGGTGTTGATACAATAATAGCTATTCTCCACAAACGCCAAAAAATAATAAGGTTCGCGCATACTTTTCGCATTGTATGTAAACTATATGAGACTTTTGTATTTAACCTTTATAGTCCTCACTACACCTTCTTTATTTTAGTTCAAAAATGGTCAATTTTTTTTTTTTTTTTTTTTTTTTTTTTTTTTTGTGTTTGCAAATTGTCATTTGGATTTCAAAAAGCATCATTTGTATTTCAAATTATGCAATTCAATTTTGAAGAGTATCAAATAAAGTATTTCAAAATTATCAATTCAATTTCAAAATGCTTTGAATGTATTTCAAATTAGTCATTTTAATCTCGAAAACTATCAATTGTATATCAAATTCATCAAATTAATCTCAAAAACTAACACTTGAAATTCCAAAATGGTTATTTGTATTTCAAGGAATATAAAATGTATTTCATAATGCATCATTTGAATTTCAAATCTGTGAACGCTTCTGACTACTGGTTTCTGTCATTGTGGCATCATCAATAGAAATGATTTGATTTGAAATTTAAATAAAAAATTTTGAAATTGAAATGGGATATTTCGAAATTGAAATGACTTATTTGAAATACAATTGACGCATTTTGAAATACATTTGATACTTTCTGAAATTAAAATTACTAATTTGAAATACAAAAAACGCATTTTGAAATTGAAATGATAATTTTGAAATACTTCTGACACTTTTTCAAACTGAAATGACTGAAATACTGAAATACAATTGATACCTTTTGAAATGAACTTGACGTTTTTTGAACTAAAATTGGAAAAGGTGTAGATACAAAAATATCTATTTTATCATATGATGAGAAACATAATGAGTTCTCAAAATCATGAAGGTTCTTCATCAATGCTAATGACTCCCAACTTTACCAATTCAAGATAATTAGCTGTCATTTTGGATGCAAGTCAATCCCAAAAACAGTGTTTTGCATTGATTCAATGAGCTCGCTCATTACAGAACGGAAGGGACTCATCTTATTGTTTCATCAGAATGCATCGTACTTTATATATATGGTAGGTACATAATCAACAAAAAAACTACCTACATTCCAATTGGCAAGGCAGAAAGCAAGGCAAGGCAAGATTAACATTATCGCCGTAATTATCATGACGAATTTCAGAACTGACCATTGACCATCAAAGATTCAGATCTCATCTTTCTCGTTGCCAGTGGCGCAGGAAATAAGGTAATGAAACATTATCACAACACTTTTTTCTTGTCTCTGAAGGGTCTGTTCAAAATCATAGCACCTCAAGGAAAAATGAGCTGATTTAAAGCAACTTACCTCTGTCCAAAATTACTCTGTTTCTGGAATCAAAGGAAATGAGGCAGCTGATTGCCTTGCAAAGAAAGGTGCAGCATATGCATATCTGCACTTCTTGGTCCTGAGCCTTTTTGTGAGATAAAATGTCATCTAAAGGAAGAACTCAGGAAATGGGGAGAAATTGAAAAGTCCTCCTACTGGAGAGCAACTCCAGGTCAACGACAAGCGAAAAGGTTCATCAACCATTCGCAGAACCGAGCCAAAGAGCTACTCAGCCTCAGCAAACCAGAGCTAAAGCTTATCACAGGCTTTCTCACAGGACACGGCCCTCTGAGGTACCACCTCAAAAAGATGGGTCTGGCGGAGACTGACACTTGCCGCTTTTGTAACAATGCGACCGAAACAGCGGGACACATACTTTGCTCATGTGAAGTATTAGTCCGCCAAAGGCTGGACCACCTAAAACAGGTCTATCTCACCCCTGCTGAGGTGGAAAATTCGACCGTCAGGAAAATTATAGGATTCATCAGAAGTCTAGGGTTAGAGGATCAAAACTAGATAGGGGTAATCACAATAGATCTTCTAGGTCGCAGTGATCGAGAGGTCTCTCAGCCTATACGACCCATCTACAATCTACAATCTACTCTGTTTCCGAGATACAGGGTGATAAATTTGAATAATAAAATTCGGATTTATTGAAATTCATGAACTTTTTTAACAATTATAGAAATTTTTGTCCGAATTTTTTGAAGCATCAAAGGTACCACTATGAAAATCCGCACCGGAATATTCACTCTCAAAAATGAAAAAAAAAAACATATAAATTTTGTAAGATTCCGAGGTTACCTTTTGAGTTACTAGGTGTTGAAGTTAGGAATATAATTTGCCTATTTGAATCATCACCAATTATCCCCTTGTATATGCATTCATAATGCAAAAATTCAGTGTGGTCAGAAATCTCCAAAATATAATCACAAAACACATCAAGAAAATGAAAAAACTTCACAAACAATAAGACTTCCACAAAATTCTCAAACACAAGACAGTAGCTTCGTACCAGTATATCACCTGACGAAAGCTACTGTGTTAGCGAAACATGTCGTGTGTTTGAGAATTTTGTGGAAATCTTATCGTTTGTGAAAATTTCAAATTTGCCATGGAATTCCATCAAGTAACGGCCGAGTAAATAAAAAAAAAGGTAATGAATGCTGTACTGTTTTCGTTATTTGTTGCGTTCTGTCTCTAGACGTCCCTAGTGTGTATGACAGCTAGACGTTGACGTTACCATTATCAACTTTGAAACAAGAGATTCAGCGTTTCCTAATAGATGCTGTTTCGATCAATGAACTCAATGAAAACACCTTCGAATGCATTTGGGTATCATCATGACTTCCGTTAACCCAATGAGCCGCCACTGAAGACATCCGAAATGATTCAGAGAGAAAGGAATAAAGGAAATACGAAAGATGCACAATCATTTCGACCGCAATCTTTACGCATAAACTACAAAAAAATACCCTATACCATTCTTACACACCTACTCAGCTTGTATTTTCATTCAACTCGCATCGTAATCTTATAAATAGAAGCAATCAGTCATTTCCATAATAATGTAAGGCTTCTCGTTGCCAATGTGTGTGTGTGATTTTCCTCCATTGAAAATGAGTGGAAATTATGGTGCAGTCGGAAAGTACCTAGTGTTTCTGTGCTGTTTATTGTCTTCCGAACTGAGCAGTAAGTGGGTACTTAACTATGTAATAATTTCTTGTTGATGGAAATTTGCGGTTAGTTGTTTATAATCATAACTACCTAGATTACAAAATCTTTAATAAAACCATGGAATCATTTTTTAAATCTCTTGGAGCGCACGAAAGGAAATTCCTATAATGTTCGAAGAACATCGTGCGTACCTGGGAAGAAAATAGAATTTTTTTGAACTCGAGCGAGTTCTAGTGAATTGTTGTCGACATGATTCAAAATAACCAATCAGTTGTGAGAATATGATAATGCCACTTATCATATTCCTCACTGTTATGAAAAATCCATGAGATCTGAGAAGCCAGTATGACAATCTAAGTAAACACAGCTTGTTATCAAATGATTATCAAGCATCATTAAATCATCAAAACAAGTGAATTTTTAACTCCATGATGTATCAAGTAAATTCCAAATGGAGCGAAGCCGATAACCTTTGAGACAAACTTCTTGTAATTGGGCTTCTCCAGTTTGCTTTATGGATTTTCCAATGATAAATGAAATTTAGAGGATTTTGTACGTCACCAGCCATTACAAGAATAATGGCAATCAGAGCTGTATACAGTTTTTTTCGTTAACCAAATATGACATGAGAGTTCAATGATTATTATTATGGAAGAGTAATATGATAATGAAATAGTTATTTATTTTCATCACAGGTGAATAAAGTGATATTTCTTCACGAGGGCGTGAAAGATTGAACACGTACGGTTTACTTTTTTCAGTATTGAATAATACACACAATATTAACGTATATGAGCAACTACACAAAAGTTTTGACAATAATTTTTGCGTCAAAACTGTCTCCATCATAAAAAATGAAAAATTCCGATGCAATCTGAATTATACAATGAATATTTTTACAGATTTTTATACTTCTGGTCAACAAGTCAACATAGAATGTATCCCACTGACGAATTGTCCAATAGCAATGAAATTGGTCTCTACGAAGAAATATGCACCAGAAACGATCAAATTTTTAAGGAACTCTCACTGTGGCTCTTCTAAAGAATTTGGACCTCTGATTTGGTGCCCAAATTTGAATTCATGCCAAACACCTGATGGCAAAAATGGTAATAAAACAATATCAACAAGATACAGTTTTCGAAAATTGAACGAGATAGTCAGTCCAATAATTTTTCACTCATAACTTTTCAATATATTTTGAGGCCCACGAAATGAAGATCCTATAATTTAGTATAAAATCATGACATGACAATATTATGGAAGTTGGAATAACAAATTTCTCTGATTTCTAAGGTAGTTGCATGGATTTTCTACAATGTCCAAGCCTTTTGGCTAAATCAGTATCAACAGCTGAACTGGATAAATACAGATGCAATGAATATTTGGAGAATGCTTATCACGTCTGCTGCACTATTCAATTCAACAGATTCAACGATGGGAATTACGATCCTGAGAATATCCAAGGTAAAAAAATTATATCCACAAAATGGACACGATTTTTTTCTTCTCATTTTGTATTACAGAAATAAGGCCAATATAATAATTTCATTCGGCAGATTTGAATCGAGAATCTCCGAACACCGAAGAAATGCTGAGTGACCAGCCCACACACTCCACCAACGACCAATACTCCAAAAAAACACATCATGACGGACCTCTAAAAAATAGAATATACGATGACTTCGTCTGGAAAGATATCTACCACTATTGGACAGCCGAAGATACATATAGACCTTGGACCAGCCCCAGCAGACACAACGATTACCCTAACCATGGATCAGGAATGGATTGGAACAGAGACGGTACGAGTAGCAAGGTCTGGCCAAAGACTGAATCATCCACCTTCAGAAACAGTGATCGAAGCTCTTGGAAACCGGAAAACTCCAGAACCTGGCCATGGACAAGCCATGAAACCACTACTACCTCTAACATTGGTGGAGTTTGGTCTTGGGAACCAGAAGCTCCTAGAGGGTCTCCAACACCAACTCACACTTTGGATGGCAACCAGCCGAGTACTACCACTGTAGTCCAATGCAATACCACTTCTAGACGTACTACAGAGCCTGCTAGTGAGAACCCTAGAAGAATAAGCACACCAAGTTCAATCTCTACAACAGACAATAATGACTCTATCTTCAAAAACTCTTGGAAACCAGACAACTCCAGGACCTGGCCATGGAAAAGCCAGGAAACCACTGCTGGCTCTAACATTGGTGGAGTTTGGTCTTGGGAACCAGAAGCTCCTAGACGATCACCAACACCAACTACGAATGATATAAATCAGCCTAGATCCACCACTGTGATCCAATTTAATAATACTCCTAGAACTACTACCGAGCCTTCTAATGAAAACCCTAGACGATCAAGTAGGCCAAGTTATACCTCTACAACTGAAAATACTGGCTCTTTCTTCAATAACAGTGATCGAAACTCTTGGAAACCAGACAACTCCAGGACCTGGCCATGGAAAAGCCAGGAAACCACTGCTGGCTCTAACATTGGTGGAGTTTGGTCTTGGGAACCAGAAGCTCCTAGAGGATCACCTACACCAAGTACAACTGATATAAATCAGCCTAGATCCACCACTGTGATCCAATTCAATAATACTCCTAGAACTACTACCGAGCCTTCTTATGAAAATCCTAGACGATCAAGCACGCCAAGTTATACCTCTACAACTGAAAATACTGGCTCTACCTTCAATAACAGTGATCAAAACTCTTGGAAACCAGACGACTCCTGGACCTGGCCATGGGAAAGCCATGAAACCACTGCTAGCTCTAATATGGAAGGAGTTTGGACTTGGGACCCAGAAGTTCCTGGAGGGTCTCCAACACCAACTCACACTTCGGATATCAACCAGCCTAGCACTACCACTTCAGTCCAATTCAATACTACCTCTAGACCTATTCCAGAGCCTTCAAATGAAAACCCTAGAAGATCGAGCACACCAAGGTCTACCTCTACAACCGACAGTAGTAATTCTACCATTCTGAATATCTACGAGGTGGATACATTCGCGAATATCTCGACGATTTGTGGTAGGCAGACGGCGAATAGTGACAAGATCATAGGTGGCATTGCAGTGGATCCTGGCGATTATCCTTGGATGGCTCTGTTGGAGTACAGCAGCAACAATGGAAGGAGGTTCGGGTGTGGTGGTACGCTGATCAACAGGAGGTACGTTTTGACGGCTGCTCATTGTGTCGATAGGAGAGTTTTGCAGTCGAGGAGGATGCAACTGTGAGTAAGATCAAACATGAACTGCTCAATACTTGAGAAGATGATAATTGTTTAGAATTTGTTTTTCTTTACTCTGGTTTACTTTTTCATAGATACCGAGTGTTATTGGGCGAATATGATACAAGAAACGTCACCGATTGCATTTATACACCTTCTGGTGCCAACTGTGCTGATCCACCTATCTATTTCGGGATAGAATCAGTTTTCCAACACGAGAGATTCGACAATGTGAATGGGGTTGAAGATATCGCACTGATAAGATTGAACAGCGACGTTACATTCACAGGTATAATTATAAATATATCCTCCTCTTATTTGGGCCCTTGTCTTCCTCCTATGCATGTATCGTGTTAGTTGAATGTTTAAAATCCCCAGATCATTTACCTACTCTTAGTATCCGCTAATGGAGAACTCAGAAAACAATATAATTTGTCAATTTTCGTTGCAGATTACATTAAGCCGATTTGTCTCCCTACTGGAGATTTCAACATAAAACTCAACGATTCTTTGACAGTGGTTGGATGGGGTAGAACATCTTCTACAGGTAAGATGAAACAATGTTAATCCAAAAACATGGACCTCAATAAACTTAGCAGAACCACTTCAATATTTCGGATTTGCAATAGTACAATAATTTGTTACTAATTTAGTACTAATTTATTATCATATTCGCAAATTTATTACTCTTCATTGAACAGAAAAAACCAACGGCTCTGCTAGCTTTATGTCAACCTAGCAGAACCATAGCTGAAAATTTGATATTTTGAAAATTTCAAATATACGATAATTTATAACTATTTTATTACTAACTAAACTATAATCACGAATCTTTTACCTATCATTTCAAGGAAAAAAAACGACGATTCGTCTATCTCGATCTCAACCTAGCAGAACCAAAACTCAAATCACATGTTTTTTGAAATTCTGTTGTATCATCGATGAGTTACTAATTTATTACTAATTTATTACTAATTTTTTATCACATTCGCAAATTTCTAACACTTCCTTCAAAAAGGAAAACCAACGGCTCTGCTATCTTTCTGTCAACCTAGCAGAGACATAGCTGAACAATTATTATTCTGAACACTTCAAATATACCATAATTTATTGCTATTTCATTACTGACTCATTAACATAATCACGAATTTTTTACTCATCAATTCAAGAGAAAAAAACGCCGATTTGTCTATGTCGATCTCACCTAGCAGAACCAAAACTCAAATCACATGTCACATGTTATTTGAAATTCTGTTGAATCATCAACAAGTTAGTAATTTATTACTAATTTATTACCCAGACATACGCAAATTCTTAACACTTCATTTGACAGAAAAAATCAACGGCTCTGCTAACTTCATGTCGACCTCTAACCCAATCATAGCTGAAAATTTACTATTTAGAAAACTTCAAGTATATACCATAATTTATAACTATTTTATTACTAGCTTATAACTATGATCACGAATTTTTTACTCATAATTCAGAAACAAATCGGCGTTTTTTTTCGTGATTATAGTTATAAGTTAGTAATAAAATAGTTATAAATTATGGTATATTTGAAATTTTCAAAATATTAAATTTTCAGCTATGGTTCTGCTAGGTTGACATAAAGCTAGCAGAGTCGTTGGTTTTTTATGTTCAATGAAGAGTAATAAATTTGAGAATATGATAATAAATTAGTACTAAATTAGTAACAAATTATAGTACTATTGCAGATCCGAAATATTGAAGTGGTTCTGCTAAGTTTATTGGGGTAAAACATGGGAATTGAGACGAGAAACAATTGCGAAACCACATCAATGTGAATATTGTAAAAATTAATAGTAGTTTGAAAAACTGAAGGAACACGCTTTCATAGATTGCCAAACTGAAGAGAAGTAGAAAATAAAATAATCAAAGTGTGCTGATAAATACACAAAATAGAAAGTATTGGCACCTCCGTAATCAATATTTGGAAATCTCTGAAAGCTTTTGTTTCATTGTTTTCTCAACCTACAACCTATTTCCTATTCCCAAGTTCGGCAGACTACAAAAGCGTGATTTTTTTATATATTTTTTTGAAGTACCCATTTTTGGCTGAAGACTCATAATCTTCGTCTCCGAAAACCCTCAAATACAGATTTTTAATAAAATCGGAACATAATTACAAAACTCGTCCGCCATATTGGATCCACCCTCTTGAATTTTCCAATCACGACAAAAGAATCATAATTTCCGTCCCCGAAAACTCCCAGATACCAATTTTGAATAAAATGGTATCATAAATACAAAACCAGTCCACCATACTGGATCAGCCATCTGGAGTTTTTAGATTTTGACAAAATATAATCATAATCTTCGACCCCGAAAGCCCCCAGATACGAATTTCGCATAGAATCAGATCATCATTATGGAAGATGAGTATTTTGAATAGAATCAGATATTGAATTCGTCCTCTTGAATTTTACAATCTTGAAAAAAAATCATAATCTTTGATCTATATAGAATTTCCAGATTTTTATGAACGGAACATAATCTCTTACCCCGAAAACCCCCATATATCAATTTTCAATAGAATGGGATCATAATTACAAAATTACGTCCGCCATTTTGAAGCCGCCATTTCATTTATTGTCTAACAAAAATTTCATGATGCATTGTCTCCAGAACACCTGCCAAATTTCATTCCGCGTTGGGTTGACATAAACAAACTAACAAACATATAAAAGCGTGTTGAACAAAAACGAAATACATTATAAGAATGTTCAAATAAAAATTGATTGATGCATTTTGGCAAGAAAACGTGAAACAGTTTAGCATTATTCATTGATCAAAGGTCATACGTCTTATTGTAAATTCATAAGTTCAAAGTTTCATCATGAATTTTGAGTCATGAGTATAATGAGTATATAGTCATGAGTAATGGATGTATACAGTGTGTCCCACTTACCATGCTCACCATGGGTATCTTTTTAACGGTGAGAGATACGAGGTCGGTTAAATGACACCAAATGTGGAGTTTGTCACGGCCAACTATAATGTGAAAAAATATTTTGATAAAATCTATTCGTTTTTGTTTTATACGCAAAAAACAGATTTTGATCATTTTCATGTCTCCTCCGTAACTTCTTTATTTATGAAAATATTCAAATAGGAATTTCACATTCTCATAGCAGTTTCTCGAAGTGATTTCGAAAAAAATATGAAATTTATACCAACTCTTCTAGAATTTGAGATATCAGCACCAACTTTAGTTTTTCAAATGTAGATTGTAGGTCATAGCTCACTATGACTTAGTTATAAATAACTTTTTTTTCTCTAACCGATGATATGTCGCAGTAATAGTTTTGTGTTGATAACAACGGAGTTATCGTCATTCATACAAAATCAAAGAATTATTTGGAAGCCGCCATCTTGAATTCATAAATTTTAACAAAAAAAAATCATGATCTCTGACCTCAAAAACCCCCACTTACCAATTTTGAATGGAATCGGACCAAATCTTGACCACAATACATTATGGAATTTTTGTTGAAATTAAAAGAAATGGCTGCTCCAAGATGGTGGACAAGATTTGGTCCAATTCCATTCAAAATTGGTAAGTGAGGGTTTTTGAGGTCGGAGATCATGATATTTTTGTTAAAACTTATAAATTCAAGATGACGGCTTTCAAATAATTTTTTATTTTTGTATAAATGACGATAACTCCGTTGTTATCAGCACAAAACTATTACTGCTATATATCATCTGTAAGAGAAAAACAAATTATTTGTAACTTAGTCATATGACCTACATTCGAAAACACTAGAAGTTGGTGCTGATATCTCAAATTCTAGAAGATTTGGTATAAATTTCATATTTTTTTCGAAATCACTTTGAAAAACTGCCATGAGAATGTGAAATTCTGATTTGAATATTTTCATAAATAAAGCAGTTACGTAGGAGACATAAAAATGATCAAAATCTGTTTTTTGCTTATGAAACAAAAACGAATCGATTTCATCAAAATATTTTTTCACATTATAGTTGGCCTTGACAAACTCCACATTTGGTGTCATTTAACCGACATCGTATCTCTCCCCGTTAAAAAGATACCCATGTTGAGCATGGTAAGTGGGACACACTGTATTTAATAAAAAGTAACCAGTTAATCAATCATAGTAAGGTTATAAGTTATAGAAGGTGATAAATCATGAATAATATGTCGTAAGTCACAGGTCAAGAGGTCATCACTCAAAAGTAATAATGCATAAGTTATATGTCATATTTTATAAGTCATAGGTCATAATTCATAAGTCATAGGTAATAAATCATGGGTCATAAATCATAGACCATAAGTCATAGATCATAAGTGACAGGTCAGAAGTCATAAGAGATAGGTCATAAGTCATAGGTCATAAGTCATAGGCCATAAGTCATAGATCATAAGTCACAGGTCAGAAGTCATAAGAGATAGGTCATAAGTCATAAGTCATAGATGAGTGATAATAGATCATGAGTTATGAGTCATATGCCATAGGTAAGTCGTCAGTCGATTTGACCAAATTTTTTTTCCAGATCGACCGAGCCCAGTGCTGATGAAGGCCCGCTTGCCGCACGTGCCGAAATCCGCGTGCGACCGATACGGCTCGACGGCGTTGAGCTCCGCTCAGCTGTGCGCCGGCCTGGGCAACGGCGTCGACACGTGCACCGGCGACTCGGGCGGGCCGATGATGGTCGAACGCGTACGAGACTTCGAGCTGGTCGCCTATCAGGTGGGTGTCGTGTCGTACGGATACGCGACTGGAGATGGATGCGGGAACGCGCCGTCGGTCAACACGTATGTGCCGCACTACGTCGATTGGATACGGAGGAACGTTCGATAGTGAAATCAATCGACAATCAATCATCTCCATTATCAAATACTGTCTGTAGGTTAATCGAGGGGGTGGTACATTCATTATTCCAGATTTTTTGGGATTTTCTCTCTTCGTTTCTATAAAATAAAATTATGAATATTATTTCCATATACGTGTAGGGCAAATCAGATGATTTGCCCCAAAATGTCACTGCGTTTATAGTAATTTCCCTATCTTCTTTTCCAATGATTTTTATATTATTCCACTCTGCCATAATATGTGGTCCATCTTCAGTAAGGATATGTTCAGCTAGTTTCGATTTGTAGATGTGTCTTTTCTTCATATTGTATTCATGTTCCTTCGTCCTTACTGAGAGAGGTCTCTTGGTTTCACCTGTATAAAACTTTTCTCAAACACAAAGTATATTGTAAATACAATTTTTTGACGATTGTTCTTCATTTTTCGGTTTTGATTGAGTTAGAATTGATCTCATTATATTTTCATTTTTGAAGACAGTTTTCACTTGAAATTTATCACCAACACGTTTTAATTTTTCAGATATGCCGAGAATGTATAGTCTTATATTTTTCTTTATTGATGGTTGATTTTGATGTGGTCTTATTGATAAAATTCTTTGGAAAGGAGTTGAGTTGGAGAACATTTTAAATGTGGTGGACTTCGTTAGAGAAAATTTGTTGGTCAGATGATATTGATTTGGCTCTGTCATGGAGTGATTTGATTATTCCTTTCTTAATACTTTTCTGATGATTTGATTGAAAGTTCAGGTATCTGTTAGTATGGGTCTTTTCACGATATACACTTGTCACTGAGAACTGAAAAGTGTCAGGACACATACGAATTCGCAATACAAAAATCCATTTCGGGAGCAGATTCGTTTCCGAAACGCCCAAAGATGAGTAGAAATTTGATATTCTTTCTATATACCTTTATTTCTCTTCTCCAAACCTTTTTCAATAAAAATTGTCACTGACAAGTTAGTAAATTTTTCTTTCAGGCTCTCTGATAGGAAAATTCTTTAAACTCACTGACATTTTGCAGCAAATCATCTGATTTGTCCTTACTACACGTATATTGTAATAATATTCATATGTTTATTTTATAGAGACGAGGAGAGAAAATCCGAAAATATCTGGAATAATGAATCTTCAAATCAAATTATTGTTTCCTAGAAATCGTGAACCGGAATTTGGAAATGATCAGCTCCCAAATCAACTTTTTATTTTCAAATGAAACACCTTGCACCCATGATTATTACGTTTCTGGATTCAACATTCAACAGATCGTATAGTTATTACGCAGTTCTAGGTATATCGTTCTCCATATTAATATTATTTATTATGATAAAAATAAATGAACATAACCTTCACAGTTTTTATTTTATGATTTTTCCTAATACCCATTGTCCTCGTAGTTTCATCGAATTTAAAATAATCGAAAATAAAAAAGACATGAAAAATGTTCAATGGAACAATAGGATATAATGATTTTTGAACTAAATTACTGAAATAATAAAAAAAAAGTTTCCTTCGAGCCGGATTTGAACCAGCGACCTATGGATGTCTACATTACTTATTCCACTACAGTCCACCGCTCTACCAACTGAGCTATCGAAGGTTGGGAATTCGAGATGCAGAGACTGTACAAATTTTTATAATAATAGATTCAGTTTCAGTTTTTGAGATATCAAAGACGCGATCGTTTCATACTTCCTCATAATATTCTCTCGACACGCACATAGCATCGCAAGAGAGAATTTAAAATTACCTATAGAAAATACTTTTTTCCCAATTACAGCTCATACATGTTCCACCGAACTTAATATCAGATGAAATAATAATAGTTATTTATTATACAAGGGGAGAAAGTAGTAGATTTTAGCTCCAGGTTGTGTTGTCACCCGACGCGTCACAGAAAAAAAAATAGTTTCCTATAGTAGACCCTATTCGATAATTCATTACTGAACTTGAAAGAAGGAAAGATCTAGGTATACAGGAATTGATTAGAGAGTATGTGGCCAAACTTCAAGAGTTGATCTTTCGAGTGATTCCAAGTCGAAAAGTTCATGTAAACATAGTTCCGAAAACGATTTCAAAGATTGAAAAAAAAATCGATTTTTCGTAAATATCGCAAAAATCTCTGATTCAATTATTTTGTCGAAATATCGCAGTGCTATTAGTACTCGCATTAGTGTTAGTAAGTTACTAATGAACCATCATCAGATTGACGAAATATCTATTTTTTCAAAAAGGTTTAAAACTCATCTATCCAGGGTGAATCTAAGATTGAGTTTTTTTTAACAGGGCATATACAGGGTGGGTCACGGTCGATGGCACCTTAGACGTTTACGGAGAACGGGACATGAGATCATTCTGAAAATTTGGTTTCTCAAGTAATTGCTCTTGATCTATCGATCTAAAATATTTTCAGCTCTGCGGCGTTGCCGCTTCTATCGAAAAGTAGCAACAACTTTGTTATTTTAAATGGAACACCCTGTATTTCATTGCATCTTCAGATTCTCTCTGAAGAGCTGATTTCATCGATATATCACACTTGGGGTCTAGCGGAAATGATTACAGAGATATAGGGTGTGAAAAATCGACATTTTTCAACTTTAGGATTTTTTTTTGTCGAAACTATTCATTATTGGTCAAAACGGCTTACATGTCCCTATCTCAACTTTTGATTAACTATCTACTGATATTTAATTGGGACATATACCGGGTGATCAAGAATCTGAATTCTGCACCACCCTGTATTTGTTTCAATTGAATGTCAGTAGATAGTTGATCAAAAGTTGGGATAGGGACATGTGAGCCGTTTTGACCAATAATGAATAGTTTCGACAAAAAAAATTCCTAAAGTTGAAAAATGTCGATTTTTCACACCCTATATCTCTGTAATCATTTCCGCTAGACCCCAAGTGTGATATATCGATGAAATCAGCTCTCCAGAGAGAATCTGAAGATGCAATAAAATACAGGGTGTTCCATTTAAAATAACAAAGTTGTTGCTACTTTTCGATAGAAGCGGCAACGCCGCAGAGCTGAAAATATTTTAGATCGATAGATCAAGAGCAATTACTTGAGTTACCAAATTTTCAGAATGATCTTATGTCCCGTTCTCCGTAAACGTCTAAGGTGCCATCTACCGTGACCCACCCTGTATATCACCAAAATAAGATGTTTGGTGAAGAAAAAATGCTCACACAAAATATTTAACATAACGGAGGTACAGGTATTTGAAGGTTCACAAAAGACTCCACTATAAAACAGTGTGTTTACATTTCCTCAAGAGAACGCAAAAAGCCATTATTAGTCCAGCATTAGATAACCTACAGCTGCATTATTCAATCAGAGAAATTAATTAAATACCTCTTTTTGAATTCTTAATCTATCAATATCTTTTCAAAGTGAACCAAAAAAAAACTGTATGAGGGCAATGAAGCAAAGGCCAAACAACTTATTTTGGCGAAATATACAATACTCTGTAAAACACAACCTCACTTTCAGAATCACCCTGTATATGGTCATATATTATGAACTCTTCATTTTAAAATCATCAGAGAAATCGCCCCTTGAAGTTTGATTACATACTTGAAGAACACCCTATACCTATAAAATAAACATTGTACGGCTTACGGTACTTATACCAAAACAATGATGGTTGTTGGTGATCTTATTTTTTGCTTGTTGAAAAAAATCTTCTACGCCAATTGTCTCTACTCTCTCTGCTCATGTCAGTTGAATTTCATTTGAACAATTGAGAGGAAACCTCAGAGAATTTATAAAAACGTAGATATAGGTTTTTGACTTCGAATTTCATCAAAAGACAACCAGGAGGTCATACTCATGCGTGAAAATTTTATTAACAACCAGAAACAACCACAGCACCAATCAACAATCACACCTTAGCGAAATGTTTATGATATTTCTCCTTCCCCAAACTCCACGAGTACAAGTCTCCCTTACCAACCCCCTCGTGCCCTCTCGCCCCTTTCTGCGCGATCCCATCCAGCAAATCTGTAATCTCAGGCCCACCACCATTCGACTTGCTCACCGACTCTCCTGCATGCCGAATCTTCTCGAAAATGGCGTACTTCCTCTCGTCCTGCGGCCGCAGGATGTGGTTCTTCTTCATCGAGAAATAAACCACCTCCAGCAATCCTTGGCTCCTCACCAAATAATCCCTCTGGGCCAGCCTCTGCAGCCTTTCCTTCTCCTCGTACTCAACAATCATCTGGGGATCAAAGGAATTGTTGTAATCGCTTCTAACGCTCTGAGGGATTGACGAGGTCCTAGAAACCGACCTAGAGCTCGGAGGTTCCGAAACTATAGGCTTAGGCTTCGCTGTTATCCTCTTGGATGCTTCCAGCTTCGCTTTCATCTGCATCTCGTCTCTTAGAGCGTTCTGCGCAGCCTCTCTAGCTCTGCTAGAAGCCGTATCGCAGTACAACGAGTTCTGCCCTTGCTCGAAGTACTTGGAATAGATGTGTTCAGTACCGGAGCAAGGATACACCAGTCTGAAGCCTCCCCTGCACGACATCTCTTGCTTAAAATAGTCCGTGAAGCTTTTCGTATCGTTGCTGGAAAGATTTTCCTTGGTGTTTATACCATTCAGCAACCTCTCCCTCACTCTCTTCCTATCTTCGCGCATTATCTTCCTCTTATCGCAGTTCTCCAAATTCATCATAGCGAACATGTCGCTGAGCAGAGCCTCTTTCACTTCGCAGTCTAGATCAGTATCGGTGTGGAAGCTAGGCGAATGGTTGACTTCGAGAACCTGAGGATTCAGCCTCTTGTCCAAGAGGATGTCTATGCCAAGCAGCTCACAGCACGCAGGGATTACATCGTGGTTGGGAAAGCAAGCGGCGTAGCTGTGCTTGAGCACTGGGTAAGCGCTGATGATGGTTTTGATGATGACGTCGTCGATTCTGTACCAGATAGCTTCCACGTCGTGTTTCAAGCTTCTGAGGTAGCTATTCAGCCAGGTCAGTTTCCTCTTGCTACCACCTTCCGCGTCCATATTATACGTTCTGCTGTGCTTGTTGACGGCGTAATTTGTTAGGTGCATGAAGACATTCGTGATGTTGACCCCGTTGGGTTCTTTGTACCTGCTGGTGGCGAACCTGACCAATCCCTCGTTGTAAATGTACACCCTCATCGGGTCACAGCACGTTATCAAAGTGTACACTCTGAGATCGAATTTGTACCCGTCGATAAGCAAGGGCTTGGTGATGTACACCTGGCATACACCTCTGTCGCAAGGTCGTATTTCTTTCAAGGATTTCGTGATGATGATCCCTCGACCTTGGCTGCCGGCGTCAGGTTTCAGTATGAAGGTTTTGTTTTTGCGAGTTCTGCTGTAGGTTATAGCATCGCCTAAGTCTGCCGGAAAGCACCAGGTTTTGGGGAAAAAGCTGTAGTCTCTCGGAAACAGGCGCAGCATTCTGTTGAGGTTGCGAGCTAGTAGGTCTTTCCTGCAAATTTCAAGCATTCCTAAACGAAAAAGAGTAACTGTTATTATCTGAAGCTTCTATTGCTGAGGCTGGTGGATAAAATACCTGGAAAGTGGTTGATCTTCTGGAATCTCTTCATCTCCTTGCACCTGTCCACAGTTATAGACAGATCGGTCCAGTACATATTCCAGTTCTCACCCTCAGTCACTTCTTTATAAGCGAATTTGGAAGCTACCCTCCTGATCACATCGTATCTGCAGTGTGTGAGACACACGGTAACGATTCTCCTTTTCTTTTTTTTGGCGATTTTGGTCGTACTTTCGTTTTTGGCGTTTTCTTTGTTGATTTTCATCACGGGAGGTTTGTGTTTTTCGTCGCTGCTGTACCATTCCGAGGAATCGCTGTTTTCGTTGGGAAGGATGCTGGAATTGGAGTCGGCAGCCATTGAAAGAGGTGAATGGTCTATCGGTACACTCTCTGGAGCATGCTGTGACGGGAAGTCACATCGGTGTGACGTTACAGAAAGCTTTTGACGTATGACAGATTTCCCTTGTCAGTTGATTTGAAAGGTGGCTCCGGAATGATATAGCGATGTTCAAAATGACGAATTTTGAAACGGCGATGTTGAAATAACGATGATTTTAAACAGCGTGTAATACAATAGCGACATGTAAAACAGCGACGTATCAAAATGGCGATAGTAACAAAATAGCACTTATAACATAACAGCGATGTTATTTTAAAACGATGTAAGAAAAGAACGCTCTAATAGAAACCATTTATTGAATTATCTTTGCATTACAAAATATACTGATAACACTATGGAATAGAACATATACATTCATAATATTGCATTAGTTCATATCATATCGACAAATTTAAAGCAATGGCCTCTAAATAATCCTTAACACACCGCAATGAGTACCTTTGCGTAATAGTTTGGAGGCGTTTCTTCAACTGAGTATACTTGCTTTTAACGGACTCTGTAGTCCTAAAACCAGCTCTGTATCTCAAGGTGAAGTTTTCAGTTTGGGTTTGTTCCAAAAGAAATCTGTCCAAAAGTTTAGACAATGAAGGACGATGGCAATCCATAGCTCTTTGGAAGGCATTATGCCATGCCTCCAACGAATTATTAGTTCTCGGGATATCTGTATTGATTCGATCATACATGTTCCACATGGGTATAGGGTATTTTGGCATAACTCCTTCCAGTCTCCTTCCTACATAGGTATTTTCCCAATAATCTGTTATAGTAGTCATTTCGACGGGAAACCCTTCTTCTTTAATAATTTCGTACGCAAACTGTACGTCTCCTGTTGGAACGAAACTCAATGCGAGCAGGGTTTTACATTTTAATCTGACTTCCCGTCTGTTCACATATAAATTAGCTAGTCCTGGGGTTCTCTGAATTCGACGCCAAAGGTTTTGAGAAAGATGAAAAAAACATCCGCTTACATCCGATTTAGAAAAGATTTCTTTGAATGCATTCACATCTCCTATTTCAAAATCAAACATAACAGATTTAGGTTCTAGCGTTGGCTGTAATTCTTTAATTTTTTGGAACAGCCTGGAGTAAGTCTCCTTTTTCTTGCTACCAAGAATTGCGTACAGCATCGGAATTGCTTTATTTCCCATAAAAGCATGTATTGTGTAGATCTGTAAAGCAAACTCAGGTGCTATCTTAAATGTTTCGTCAGCACACCAAAGATTAAATTCGGTCAATGTCTGCATGTTCGCATTCGTCCCAAACAATAAAATCCTATCACTTGTGTCTACTTCACTAGAATCGAACAATAAGAAATTGTCACCTTTCAACGTTTTGTGATTTTGGATTCAAAATTGAATGAAGTAGAATTTTCTGATTGGTTCCTTTGACGATGGACAATTTGCCTTGCGGCGTTATTATTAGGTAAAGCAACCACACCTTCAGGGTTTACATTTTGCGCGCATTCTTGTATAATCAACCTTGGGCGATCATTGGTCATTCTTGCTTTTTTTCTAATTTGATCTTTTACTATATCAGCTTCATTTCTCCCTATATCCGGTCCATGTGTATGTTCACCAGTCGAGGTTGGATGGTCAACATCATCTTTCCTAACTATAAGTCTACCTCTGCATCCAGTCTTAGAACATCGCCAATTTTCGGTATTAATATACGACTTATCCTTTCTGTATTTGTAACCTCCGAAAAGAAGTATTTTACTACCTTTTTGTGAATCTATAAACTGCATTTTCAAACAACTTTGACAATAAACTCATTAATAAATGTCACGTTGATGACAACAATATTATAACTTCTAGCTGCTTAGTAACGTTAACCATCGCTATTTTATTTATTCGAGTCGTTTAAATGTTACGGCGACATTGCATAACATCGTGTTTATTTCACATCGCTTTTTTATTACAAAATACATTTTATTACGTCGCTATTTTGTTACACGCTGTTATAGTACATCGCTACTTTGAAAATCGCGAATTCGTAACCCGCTATTTTGAAAATCGTCATTTTGAACATCGCAATATCATTCCGTAGCCTCGAAAGGTTGGTGGATGGTTTGAGATCATCACACAGGGCGATTACAGAATTTGATCACTGAAGAGGGCTTCCCATGAAGTTTCTGAAGGCTCACGTTGAATAGCGATGTTGCCAACTCTGTTCAGCTGATTTTCTCAAGTTATTGAATAATTTTATGGCAAAATAAATGAGATTTTATCATTATTATCAGTGTAGGGAAGACTATGAACGACATGTTTATGTTTCGATCTGGTATCTGATGATCACACCTCGAAATTCCATTTCATCACTTACCAATATATTTCTATGCAACGACCTCTCGATGCCAAGGTAAACTAGAAGGTTAACTAGTCTTTTATGGATAAAAATTATCTCCTCATATATCAAGAATATTATTTTTGTACCCGATTCGATTGCTTGTAGCAGACATGATTTCGTTAAGAATTTTGGTGTTTTGTGCTTTTGTGGTTTGCAAGGCGTTGGTTGTTGAAGGTAAATGTTTCATTCATATTATTTTGACATTCATTTCACTAATTAATCACGGACAATATCTGGAAATCAGATAACTTTTACTTCATTTCTTACTGACATAACTTTTTGGTTTCTTGTTTTTTTTTTCTGTTTATATTTTTTCAAGAAGAGAGATACATTAAATTCAGTTTTCTCACTCGCTCTTTCATCTCGAAGACAAAGGAAGATTGAAAAATGGAAATCATATAGTTATTTCAAATTGCTTCACCTGAAAAAAAAACTATGAAGAACTGAAAAAGTCTAGTGTATTTACTGAGTGAACACTGAGAGGTCCTCGGAAAGATTTCATTGAAATCCTCGAAAGCGTTTTTTGCTCACAACTAGATGAAAATACATATTTTTTTCTGCTTCAAATCATTAGAAGCAAGATTGCAGAATGGAAACGATCGATATAAGCATAACAATTCTTGGAAAACTTCTAATGTGTGACCTTAAACATAAATCACCCTGTATTTGAATTATTATATTCGATTTCTTATGCTTTTCCAGAAATTTGCGAGACACCACTCGCCACTGCAGGTCTTTGTGTGAACCTGCAAGAGTGTCCATCGATATACGCGATGTCCACCGATTTTGGCAGCCAGCTCACTCTGGACAGACTGAATTTTCTGATACGATCTCAATGCGGATATCTCGGCAACAATCCGAAAGTATGCTGCCCAGCCACAGAAGTTGCTCGATAGGAATCAAGATGAAAATGGATGCTTCTTATACAGTGTGTATCAGCCAAGTGGAAACAATTCGATAATGAATAAACTGGGGCGTGTTTGAAAAAAAGCTCGGACACGTCGATTGATATTCTCAGAAGGGTATACATTTCAACAAAAAACTTTCTATACGGGGTGGGTCATGTAACAGCAGTCAATACCAACTTCCTTATTTCAAAGGAATACGCTGTATTTTATTCAAATATTGTATTCTTCATAAAATTCCAGACGTATTTCATGTACAGAGTGTCCCAAATTACTTGAGTTTGGCAGTTTTTCCTATTTCCAGAACAGCTAGAGAAAAACTGATCAAGGGGTCTAGAGCTCGATTTTTGTGACACGTCGATATATATCTAACCGTTTCCGAGATATAGGAGAAAATTGACATTTGACCGATTTCGAAAATATGTCATACATAACATTTTCATTTTTGGATATTTTTCTAAAAGAACAAAACTATAATTTCACATCATATCGCATTATGAGGGCTAACTTCAGGAATGACTATATTTTATACAAGGTACGCAAGAAAGGCTCACAAAATCGAAAATCAATTTTTTCAAACGCAACACCCTGTATTTCATTGCATTTTCATATTCTCCTTTAAGAGCTGAATTCAACGACCTAGCACACTTGGGGTCTAGAGGGAATGATTTCCGAGATATAGGGTGTGGAAAATCGAGATTTTTCATTTTTGGGAATTTTTTGTGTCAAAAATATTCATTATTGGTCAAAACGGTTTACATGGTCATATCTTAACTTTTGATTTACTATTTTCTCGTATTTAATTGAAACAAATACAGGGTGGTGTAGAATTCTCAGTTTCAGTCAGAATTCTATACCACCCTATATTTGTTTCAATTAAATATAATAATTGTTGATGTTCAAATATTGTCAAAGTTTCTAATGTGTATGTATGAGTGTTTTATATTTTGTCTCTGTGACTTTAAGTATAGGTACACTATTTTAGCATTGTATTATTTGTAACCATTTCTTCGTTTGACTAGTCTGATAAGTTTTGTACATTGTGTATGAGTATATGAGCTATACCTTGTATAATCTTTAATTGACGAATAAAGGACCCCGCAAATTTTCAAGGTAATTTGGGTCCCGGTGGATTTTTCTCAATTTTTGGTATGATGTAGTTCATTTGATTCAATTACATATTGGCATTGCGCCAACCCCCAAAAATGAACAGTTTTTTTGCTAGGGGGGGTTGAATTCACATTTTGACCGAATTGATTATTTATTCCTGAGAGAATGAACAATATTCTAGAATTTTTTATTTCATCTAATTTCTCCTATGAATATATGCTTTTTGAAAAAAATATAGTGAGGGGGAATTATTACCCCATACTCCCATTTTTAAAAACGAAAAAAAAAAGAGAATTCGCCTAACCGTCGAAAGTGATAGAAAATGTTCCATTACCCAGAATTATGGAAACCGCCTTTTTGTATTATTGCCCCTCACCGAATGGGAGGCGCCCATGAAAAAAAAGTTCGGTGGATTTCGCTGAATTTTTGATATGATGTACTCTATATGATACTGATCAGAAAATAATTGGGTGACAATCCTGAAAAATGGACAGTTTTCCTGCTACAGGGGGTTCAATTCACATTTTGAAGACATAAATAGACTAGATGAGTACCTATTTGATTCTGAACTTCTTTTCAATATATCATCTCCATTCCCTATATTCCCTAATAATTATTCATAAAAAAATATTTTGAGGGGGGGTTCCTACCCCTTCAAAAAGTATTTTGAGAAATATAAAACAAAAATACAGTGCTACCGTGAAGAGCATAGGAAAGTGATTAATTACGTGAAATTATGGAAAAAGCTCTCTTGCATGATTGCCTCCTCTCCACCAAGTGGGGGGGTGCGCATGAAAAACATTTTTGGTGCATGGATTTCCACTGGATTTTCAATATAGGTATAATGTGGTTGTATTTCATAAGATTATGGTTGTGATGATGATTGAGAATGAGATAGTTCAAATCTGAAAAGATAACAACTTTTCACTTATTATATCTCCCATTGGCTGAAAGACTCAGGTCAATAACCATTTGATTTCATTTTCATATATTATGATCAATGAGGTACTTTCTTATGATTTTTCTAATGTAATACGACTGAGAAAAATGGAATTTGATATTATTAGGTATAGATGGAACTGTAGTAAGTGTAGTATCAATTCACAATGGGTAACGACGGCATATAGAGTAAGTAGTATGAGAAATATGAGTTCAACACGCCCTACCGAAAAAAAACTGCTCATTTTTGGTAACCGGTACCGATAATCGGAATCGGAATTGATCGGAATCACAAGAAGCACCTCATAGAAATTCGGTGGAAATCCATGCACCAAAAATGTTTTTCATGCGCACCCCACACTTGGTGGAGAGGGAGCAATCATGCAAGAGAGCTTTTTCCATAATTTCACGTAATTAATCACTTTCCTATGCTCTTCACGGTAGCACTGTATTTTTGTTTTATATTTCTCAAAATACTTTTTGAAGGGGTAGGAACCCCCCCTCAAAATATAATTGTTAGGGAATATAGGGAATGGAGATGATATATTGAAAAGAAGTTCAGAATCAAATAGGTACTCATCTAGTCTATTTATGTGTTCAAAATGTGAATTGAACCCCCTGTAGCAGGAAAACTGTCCATTTTTCAGGATTGTCACCCAATTATTTTCTGATCAGTATCATATAGAGTACATCATATCAAAAATTCAGCGGAATCCACCGAACTTTTTTTTCATGGGCGCCTCCCATTCGGTGAGGGGCAATAATACAAAAAGGCGGTTTCCATAATTCTGGGTAATGGAACATTTTCTATCACTTTTGACGGTTAGGCGAATTCTCTTTTTTTTTCGTTTTTCAAAATGGGAGTTTGGGGTAATAATTCCCCCTCACTATATTTTTTTCAAAAAGCATATATTTATAGGAGAAATTAGATGGAATAAAAAATTCTAGAATATTGTTCATTCTCTCAGAAATAAATAATCAATTTGGTTAAAATGTGAATTCAACCCCCCCTAGCAAAAAACCTGTTCATTTTTGGGGGTTGGCGCAATGCCAATATGTAATTGAATCAAATGAACTACTTCATACCAAAAATTGAGAAAAATCCACCGGGACCCAAATTACCTTGAAAATTTGCGGGGTCCTTTATCTTATCTATCTTATCTTATCTAATCCGAGTAAATAGTAAATCAAAAGTTGAGATATAGATATGTAAGCCATTTTGACCAATAATGAATAGTTTTGACACAAAAAATTTCCAAAAATGAAAAATCTCGATTTTCCACACCCTATATCTCGGAAATCATTCCCGCTAGACCCCAAGTATGCGGTCGTTGAATTCAGCTCTTCAAGGAGAATATGATAATGCAACGAAATACAGGGTGTTCCATTTGAAAAAAATGATGTTCGATTTTGTGAGCCTTTCTTGCGCCCCTCGTATAAAATATAGTCATTCCTGAAGTTAGCACTCATAATGCGATATGATGTGAAATTATAATATTTTGAAAATTTCTATTGGTTCAGAAGATATTTAACTGTCCCACTGGTCTAGGGACACCCTGTATATGTCAAGATGTGTCTAGTCATCCTTGCTGTCATATAACAAAATTACTTCTCATTGAAAATAACAATTTGGTGACATCTCAACTTAGTAAGCCATGGAAATCAAGAGTTGTTCACAATATCTGTCAGTTCGACATTTATTAATTGAAATAAATAAAAGCTGTTTACAACTGTCTGCAAATGTCAATTTTCGCCGATATCTCGGAATCGGTGAGAGATATATCGAAATACGGTTCACAAAAATCGAGCTCTAGACACCTTGGTCAGCTTTTCTCTATAGCTGTCCTGGAAATAGGAAACACTAGAAAAATCATATCAGAAACTGTATATAGGTCAATAGCATCTCCGCTCATAAATTATTCGAGATATTTTTCTTTTTGCCGGCATTCCGCGATGATTGGGAAAAAACATTAGGGTCCGTCATCTGTGCCGTATTTATACGTTTCGGGGTAGTAATTTTCGGAAGGGGATAAATCAAAACGCACATGGTTGTGCATGCAATTCGCATACAGGGTGGTCCAAAGAAAACTTTGCACCCCGATTTTAGGGCTTCGACATGAAAATCCGAAAAATGCTCGGACCCGTCCATTTCTGATTCGAGGGGGAACGATTTGTCTGTCTTTCATCCCCGTAATGACATCTTGATCGAAACTGTTTTGTGAAATTTGGGCCGTGGTTCCTTGTTTCTTTTGGAATAGGATGGTTATCCTCGATTTTGTTAAACGGAATGTATATAATCAACTTATTTTGTCCGAATTTCGAATCTTAGCATTCCATCATACGCCTTACACTGGCCAAAGTAGTGGTATGGACATTCTCTGAAATAGATGAAGTTTGGGCTCAATGGAATCTTAACCTATTAATTGTTTATATATACTCATTGTAGTAGCACAAAATCACTATTTAAGGAAGTCAAAATATTATTTCGTCATTAAAACGTCAAGAAAATGTCTGATTCATTTCGCAAATGGGTATACCTCCGAGAAAAAATTTTTTACTAAAAACATAAGTTGCTATGGTGATTTGTCAATGAAACCCAATTTGGTTAGGTAAACATTACTGGTGTGGAATTTTTGAGGTAAATTCAACATTGCCTCTTCCACAATTTTCTCTCATTTCGTTATCGATGAAAATTTTGACGCGAAATCATAGGATCGAATGTTATAGTACTCGATGGAATCTTCAAAATGATATATCGAAATACCCTCATCCCTATTCAAAATCCAGAGGTTATGCTTCCTCCTGGTAGGAGGTTGAAGTTACGTGGATGAAGAGAACAGACAAGTCGTATTCTCTGGAATCAGAAGTCGATGAGTCCGAGGTGGACCACCCTGTATATATACATATTATTTCGTATAGTGGACGAACGGGCAATCGGTTAAGAATTAACTCGCCATTATTCAGAGTGGAGCGAGAACAGAGAGAGGCTTTTGTGAAATTAAAAGCTTTCATT